AAAAAAAACTTTCCCTCAGCGACGCTCCCCCCCCCCCGGACACACAAACACACACCCACACCCCTTTCTTCTGTGGTCGCAAACTCTCATTTCAGGGCTCCCTCTTTTCCTAAAGCCCCCCACTTGCCCCAGGGTGGCTTTCTTTTCCAGAGAGACTTCTTCTTCTCCTCCTCCTCCTCATTATTATTATTACTACAAAACAGCAGGCACAGTCAATCAAAATTATATAAAAAAAAATTAACTGGTATTCTATAACAGACACAAGTTTTAACCAAAAACCTAAGTATCTGTTAAATATCAGTATGCTGTTCCTAATATTGCCATTTCTTGTAGCTTTGATGGTGTGATTTCTGAGATCTGCAGCTGCTTATTAATAATAATAATAATTTATTGTCATTGTAAGTATATACACAGTATACCCATACAACGAAATTCACAAGTAATTGTACTGTGTGAAATTTCTTGACATGGTTCCCAAAAGCCCTGATGACTATAGGGACCACGGAAGTGGGTTTCATCAACAAGCAAGATGTTTATTTATTTATTTATTTATTTTATTTTATTTATATCCCGCCTATCTGATCGGGTGAGGACCACTCTCTGTGAGGACCACTCTCAGTTGCCAGGTCTCTGTATTTGGTTAGCCCTTCCCATTCTTTATTTTCAACTCTGGAATTGCAATGTCAATGATCCATACATTTCTTGATTCTACTACTGTACTACTATGTCTGGTGTGGTATGTTCAAGGTGTCTTACCGGTTTGGATCCGGAAATCCTGCAAGATCTTGTCATTTTCTGACACCTTCTCTATCTGTTGTTATTGTTGTTACCATTCACACTTGTTGAAAAACAGCCCTGACAATTGTTTTGTGTTTGGATGAGAAGATGGTTACACTGTTTTAAAAATTACAGTAGTCAGTTTCTGTGATTTTCCCTTGCGTTGTGTCACTTTATGAATAGTGGTGAGCACAAGAGGGTATTTATTCCATGTAGACCATCTAGACTGCTGCCATCGGTGTTGCCATCATTCAGACTGCCCTTTGCTATGGAAAGGTTGGCATCCTTTTTTTCTTGCTGGCAATACAGGCATGATATTATGCAGCAATGTCAGGCTATTTCCTGGCTTTTTAAAATCGGGAATAGAGGTTCAGAGAGGCTCCAGGAGTGAACAATGTATTTTACATATGGCTACCAACAATGGCCCGAATCAAGTCCTAAGACGCAACTTGAGTAAAGAAATTGAGATTTATGTAAGCAGCTAGACATGTAACCAAGTTGTGCTTTGGCTGCAGCAAGTTCTGCAAATCTGACATAAAAGCCTATAGGATTCTTCTTATGCTCGAGATAACTGCAGTAGTCTTTTTTCAAAGTCACTGAACATTCCTAGTTGGTTCCAAAACTCTGTTTCATGCTGTAGCAGCCTGGAATACCTGTCATAAATATTGCCTACTGCTTAATTAAATTGGGCACACTTTTTTTCATTCTCTGTCAGATCCAATATGCCTAAGAATAGGGTCCAACTTTAGTTAAGTAAAAACAGGCCACTTCCAGTCCCATCCTCCATTCACAAGTAGAAAAGTCTGAGAAAGCAAGAGGTGTTTTTTTTTTAATGAGAGTTCATTAAAAACATATTTTATGTATTGTTATAGGATCTAGATTTCGTATTTGTGAATAAGATTGCAAGACAGTGTCTACTAAGATACTTTCTGGCAAGCAGTGCCAAATATTGATGTACTGATAGACTCCAAATAATGTTTTCAATGTAGCCAGGCAGTACATCCAAAATTCTAAATATAAAATAAAAATACAGGTAGAATTCTTTTGGAAATCCAGAACTGCTATGAAACAGAGATACCCAAAAATAACTTGAATGGATTATTTATCATCTTGAAATCAATAGGTAAGATTGTGTTGTTCAGCCATTCTGTGTCGCAGAGAGAAGAAACAGTGGAAGGAGGCGTGCAGCCATCAATATTCTAGGGACATGCCTACTTAAACTTATCTTGCATCATGTGAAACCAGAACTGTCGCCCTGTTTGGTGAAGTGTTTTTCCACTGGCCAATAGGAAGATGGACATCCTGAAACAGATGGTAAAAGAATATAAGAGGAACAGCTGTGATCTAGTGTGTTTACCACGGAAGAGAGGACTGATTATTGGTGTCAGGTTCTGAAGGATTACCTACAGGATCCAAGTTAAATGGACATCAGTTCCAACACAGTGGTTGTTACGGGTAAGACTTACTCTAAAAGAGAGAGAGAAAAAGAGGTGGGGGGTAAACTTCTTTTAGCCAGACATGGAATGTACATGTGCTGGCCTGGTCTTTGTTATAAACCCCTCCCTGGAGAGATGGCAAGAGGGTTGGGAAACTGAACAGCTAGCAACTGTACATACCAGCATTTCCAAATGGAAAATAACTCGCTACTGCAACTTGCTAAGCCAATCGTGTGGTATGTCAGTGGGGTAAAAAAGAAGCAGCAGCCTGCTGTCCTTTATCCAGAAAGTTTGCGGATCACTATTCCTGGCACTTCCGAAAATAATCTGCTGACATCCTTTCCTGGCCAAATCGTGTAGCCATAGGTAAAACAAGTTAAGGGTTATGGACTACTTTTCAGTGCCATACAAGGTCCAAAATGAAAGCAGTCACATGCCAAACTTCAGCTTCTCTGTTTCAAAACAAGGGAGAGGAAAGATAGAAGGAACAACATATGCAATGGGATTTTTTTTCCAGAGGGGTAGCAATTCATTCCACGTGGTCTGTTCCAGTTGAACGCACCGAGAGTCTTATGACACCCTAAAGACTAACATCTTTTATTTGACGTAAGGTTTTGTGGACAGCAGCCCGCTTCAGCCAAGTAACCTATATAAAGAGACGTTTATACATACACAGGGATATGGAATGACATCAGACCAAGAAGATAGGTATATAGGTGAGAAATGTGATATTGAAGGAGCATACAAGCCCCTAGAGTGTATTTTGAAGGTTTTGTTGCCTGTTATAGTTAATGCTGCATCACATTTGCAGACGTAACCGGTCAGAGGCTGAGCTTTAAAAGGTTAAACCTCTCCTGGTATGCCATAGCACACTGTTGCTCCCTGTTACACTACCAGCCACTCTAAAGGCAGTCATTACGTATAGGCATGACACGTGAATTGCTGGATAGTTTTCAAGTATAGGCCAACTGAGGACACACAACTGAGTTTGAAGTGAGATCAAAGGGAACTTGAATCTTGCTCTTTTAAGTCAAGACATAATTTAAGATTATTTTAGGTTTGTTAAAATAGCACAGGGCTAGCAGAACCAGTTCGTAAATCTCCTAACATAGCACTGGCCATCACAGATGGGAAACGGGAGGAGAAGGAGAGAAACCACCAAGCCTTCTCGGATGTGAGGATGGATTTAATATGCCGCCCTTCTCCCAGAAATGGGACCCAAGGCAGCTTTAAGACAATTGAAGTTTAAATAAAATAGGATTATAAACATTAAAATATAATGAATTCATTGTGTTATTGAAATGCACTACATAATGACTAGAATACTAATGCTACTTTATCTTTTTTTTTAAAAAGCACATAGGCTAAAATGTGATTTTTTTTTAACTGTAAGTTTCCAGATCACACAATAAAGATCTATGAGTGCTTTTATTCATTAATGATCCAGCTTCATAATATTGTTGGGCTCTTCTTGTTAATTTCAGTTAAAATGTGTTAAATCAGTTACCATACTAGCAGGGCATTCTGGGAATTGACTCCCCCCCCCCACTTGAAGCTCTGCTAATAAATTAACTGAAACAAGTAGCAACATAACCAGTATTTAAGGAACAGGAAAGTCCCAACAACTTTATGAGTTTGAATCAGGGCTAATGAAAACATTTATAGAATCTGGATCTATGATTAGCATTTATTCACAAGATATTGGCTGCCATCAATTGGGCCATTCAATCTCTTTCCCACCCCTCCTCCTTTTATTTGCTTTTACTGTGTCTCTTATTAATTACTGATTATGCCCTTCCAACCTACTGTAGGTGCCCATCAGAGGTTATGAACAATAACACCCATTTGCTTCTAACAGCATGGCCAATAATTTGGGATGATTGGAGGTATCATTCAAAACATTGGGAGAGTACCAGGTTGGGGAAAGGTACATCACACTATTACAACATATTTCTAAAGTTGTATTAGGTTATTTCACACCTACACACACAGGGTAATATTTTGCAGTCTGTTATGCCTGATTCAAATGCAGAATTATAGGTTGTACTACATGGCTATTAGAGTATGGGTTTAATGTGAAAATGGAAGAGAAATCGTTAGCATTTTAGTCATACCTGCCACTTTGTTAAATACATTTTAAATTACATTATGCTCATATGCAAATAAAAGTTGTATTTGAAGCAACATATGTTAGTCATACCTGCATGGACTGCACAGTAAAAAAAAAGCATTCTTAGGTCTTCCTTTTAGTTATATCTATATAGAAAAAGAGGAATGGTTATTAAGACGGACAATTAACATGTTTGTATGTACTTGAATTGAAAATAGCATTAAAATAAGTATCTGCTGCCTTATCAATTAAGGGCATAATCTTGTGGATTAAATGTATTTTCAATGAATTGACATAATTAGCAATATCAGCAGCTAACATTCTGTTAAGAGTGCATTTCAGTTTGCAGGTTTGCAGTTGAACTCTGCGGAAAACACATGGATTATTGTGTAATGAGATAAGACACCTTGACTTGTTTCCAGTGTTACTAACCAGCTGTCATTTGTGGTGTTGTCTACTGCCCATTTTTTAAAAATCACATAATACTTTTTGCATTAAACAAATAAATATTTTAAAAACCAATATTGCAAATCTTATTTAAATGTATTTTTTAAGGTACAGGGGGAAAATGTCTTCCCCTATTCCAATATTAAAATTAAGCCGTAAAGCAAATCGCCTGAAGATAATATGGATCAAGACACAAGACTACTGCAATCATCCTCTCTTTTTTTAAATTCCAGGCTTTGGTTCTTTCCGGCAGTATCTTGTGAATTCCAGCTGGGAAGCAGCAAAAGTAAGAAAGCCTCTTTAGCTGAAGTCTGAAAGACTGCTTAGGTGGGAAGACACGGCTTAAATAGAATGTGATGCTAGAAAAATGAAAATTCTTGGTAGTACAGTCCCCTTAATGGGAGAAAGGCAACCTATAAATGAGACAAAATAAAATGCAGCTGGATCATTACATAAGCGGTTGTGCAACTTACTGCTCAACAAAACCACTGGGTATTGCCCTTGTACTAAATCTAATATATATGCAGCAGGTAGTGAAGATCCAAGAAATCAAAGGGAAATTAAAGCCTAGATTAGGAATTCTGAATGACCGATAGAGAAGCACACTATCTGACCAGGACAGAGAAAGTAGAAACAGTATACTGAGGACCTATATACAAAAGTTAAAAATAAAACAGATGCTTTTGAAGAGGAATCCTATGATGAAGAACCTGCAATTTTAGAAGGTGGAGTGAAACCTGCCCTGAAATCACTGGGAAGTAATAAATCAGCAGGGGTAGATGGGATAACAGTAGAACTATTTCAAGCCACAGAGACTGAATCTGTCAAAATCTTAACAAGACTATGCCATAAAATATGGAAAACAAAACAATGGTCCACAAGCTGGCAACATTCAATATACATTCCAATCCCCAAGAAAGGAGATGCCACGAAGTGCCGTAACTATAGGACCATTGCTGTAACTTCCCATGCAAGCAAGTGATGTTCAAGGTGTTGCATCAAAGGTTTTCACCTTGTGTGGAACAAGAAATGCCTAGTGTTTAAACTGAATTCTAAAAAATAGCCACGTTAGATCACATTGCAAATAGCCAGTGGCTACTGGAGCGCACCGAAGAATTTAAGAAGATGATCAGTCGAGCAAATAGCCAGTGGCTACTGGAGCGCACCAAAGAATTTAAGAAGGTGATCAGTCGATGCTTTATAGACTACAGCAAAGCCTCTGACTCTCTGGATTATGAGAAACTATGAAAGAAATTGGTGTGTCTCAACACTTAATTGTCCTGATGTGTAACCTGTATTGCAGACAGGAAGCTATGTTTAGGACAGAATATGGAGAGACTGAATGGTTTCCTATAGGCAAAGCTGTCAGACAAGGATGCATTTTATTCCCTTATCTGTTGTTCAGACTGTACGCCAAACATATCACATGGAAAGCCAGACTAGATTGAGATGAAGGAATAGTTCAAATTGGTGGAAGAAAAGCAATAATTTAAAATACACAGATAATTTAAGATACACAGATGACACTATCTTACTGGCAGAAAGCAGCAAGGACTTGAAGCAACTTCTGATGAAAGTGAAAGGAGCATTAAAGCAGGACTGCAGCTGAACATTGAGATGACAAAAATCATGACTACGGAATAATTGCACAATTTTAGCACTGACAATGAAGAAACTGAAGTAGTGTCTTTCGATACCTTGTATTTTGAAGTATTTTGATACCTTGATTCTGTAATCAATCCAAAGGGAGACTGCAGCCAAGAAATCAGAAGACTGAGAAGAGCAGCCAATGCAGGAATCAGAAGAGATCATCAAGTGTAAGGATGTGTCACTGGACACCAAGGCCAAGGTAATCCACACTATTGTATTCCTGGTCACTATATACTTATATGAAAGATGAATAGTAAAGAAAGCTGAAAGTGGACGGGGATGATTTGTTTGAAATGTGCTTCTGGAAGACAGCCTTGCAAATACCCTGGACTGTTAGAAATATGAACAAGTGGGTCCTATAGCAAATCAAGCTTCAACTATCTCTGAAGCAGAAATGGTGAAGCTGAGGTTGTCCTCCTTTGGACACATCATGAGAAGGTAGAATTTTCTGGAAGAGACAATAATGATGGGAAAGGTTGAAGGCAGCAAGAAAAGAGGAAGACCCTATAGGAGATGGATTGACACCTCAAAGGGGAGGCCACAGGCTTGGGTTTACAAGAGCTAAGCCAGGGCTGTTGAGGACGGGACATTTTGGAGATAACTGCCTTATAGGGTTACCATGGGACATTAACAACAAGTGCAGCAAGTCTTGTGTTGCACAGTGGTAGTATTAAGTACAGTCATTTTAATTGAACCTTGTATTAAGCAAGCAGTCCAGAGATCTAGAATATCCGTAGAATAATCCAGATACATCATGGAGTTATATGTGTAATTATCAGAAAGCTAAATAGATGCACAATGTAATTCAAATTCCTAATAACTGAAATTATCAATATACAGCCTATTGAAGTAAATATTTACATCAGTCCTTCTCAAAGTTGGATCTCACAAAATAGCCTAATAGGTGAGGGAAAATGCAGGTAACAATTTGGTGTTTAGCAGAGAAATGTGTCACACAGCCAGTGGAAAAGTGAGGCACTGGATAAGCCAAAGCTTCTGAGCTGTTGCTTATTAGTATTTTAGGGTTTCAAGCAATCAGAAGATGTAAGACTTTATTCCAAAGTTTCATATGCACTCCGAACCACATAAATGTCCATAACAAAAGCATCATCATTATTTTCCAGTTTTTTGCTGGTTCCAATTTTAGGTATCATCATATTATCCTATATGAAAATGGAGTGTTGGGTTTATATGCACATTAAAGCAGCCCAAAGGCAACTAATGAGTCACAGCTTTTGTTGGAATCTTGTCTGGCTGCTGCTGTGCTCAGAAATTATGTAACAAACATAGACAGTCTGTAAACAAATACATGGAAAGCCTGCAGTACAAGACTAATCAAAGCCCCATTCCCTTTTGTTTTGCCAATTGCACAAATAAAACTGTACATCTATAAGCAAAGATGTTGGTCCTTGTTGTAGGATTATGCAGGCCACAGGTGATGCTTTGGTTAGAATAATGATTCAGTAAGTTCAGACCTCAGAATTAAAATGTGACCCACTATTTTGCTCTTTTCTTCTATTTTAGAGGGGAGTTGTAGTCCAAAGCAAACGGGTTTGTCAGCTACATGACACCACTATAAGTGGTAATAGTTCAGCTTCATCATCTGAGAAGCCCCATGTTTTGCATGAATTTCTGCTTAGCAGAAACCTTCCCAAGCATTAAGGATTATCCAGTAAATTCAGACCTCAGAATTAAAATGTGATGTAGTTTGCAAAGGAGAGGAAAAGGAGAAGAAGAACATGTCTTGATTTTTTTTAATTCAGTATACATTCTTTGCTTATGGCCAGATATTCTCTACACTTTATTTTAAAATGAGAGGAATTGACTCCATAGTTTTATCTCAGCACTGACAGTGAACACGGGTTGCTTTGCTGCCCATGGTTCTTGGCCTTCTGCATGTGAAGGAAAGGGGGGGGGAAGAGGTTATCCTCGGTCATCTGACCATATCCTTACAACTCACAGAGGAGTGCCTGATTAAGCAGAGGAATTAAAATGTGAGTGAGAAAATAAAATGCTAATTGTAAGCTGGCATGGATTGTACTTCTCAAAAAATGGACACACAACACTGCATTCTTCTACTAGATGATGCAATAGCCTTTCCAAGACCACTTGTGTCACAAGAAAAACACAGCTGCCTCTGTTGTTCCTAGGGTGTTTACTTTGCCTGCAAGAATTGTTTGCTTGTTTGTGTCAAACAGTTTATTGAGCACAGCTAATCAATGTTTCCGCTGACAAGGAAATTGTAACAGTTTACTCAGGAAGCAAACCTTCAAGAACAAGTCTGTCCCATTCACACACCCGTACCAGGGAAGTCTGTAGCTCCCTAGATGCCACCATCATTGCTGTCTAACAATATCATCTGTGAAAATTTGAGAACGACGGTGCAGAATCAGCCTCTGGTCTTTCCAAATGAAGACCACATCTTAGGGAGCACCTCATAAGACATTTATTGCATCTTCCAAACAGCTGAGACAACAGGAAATATAAGGAATTTATTATATCTGAGTACAGAATAAGTTTTTGGTGAGAAGTACAGATCCAGGAAGACTCTTCTAGGAGAGAATTCTACGTTGTTCACCAAACTACAAATGCCAGGTTTCGTTTAGGATGAAGCCACTACAGTGAAAACGGCATTAAACTGCTGTAACACTGTAGTGCAGACCTACTCTTAGTTTAGTCAAAGATAACTAATCCTTAATTGTCACAATGACAATCTTCTTATGCAAATTACCTCTAAGGATTACAATTGGGATAGAGAACATGAGTCTTGTTATTTCTTGTTAGACTCTCTCTTCCCTGATGGTAGTGCTGAAAGTCTTTGGCATGCAACATCATCCGAGCAGGTCCCCCATCTCAGACCAGGGTCTAGAAGTTGGGTTACAAAGTTGCTCGTAGCATTTATAGGCATGTCAGATTCACTGCATTTTTTTAAAAAGTTCATATTTTAATTTTCTTTCCATCATCACAGGAGCTGCTGAAACTTGGCCTTGGTGATGATGTAGACATACACATTGTGGAACTGCCAGTGGCTTACCATAAAGTAAAAGAGCTTGTCTGTAAAGCATGGGGAAACCTTAAACCCAAAGTAAGTGACAAGACACACCAGTGTTTTTTTAATCTCTCTCTCCTTCCAATAGAGTCTGAAGTTGCATGGTAGTTACAGCCAACAATGACATATGAGAATTCTGAATAGCAGACCATGTTAACTCCCTATTTTTCTTCTACATCTAGACAGATTGCCCATTTTGAACTTGTGATAAAGACGTAACTCCTAGAAATTTCGAGTAGAGAGCGTCAAGTTCCTCACCATATATTTATTGAGGCTAACACTCATTTCCTGAAATTTCCATAGGGGTTGTGGTATTCTGTAATCAGTTGCAACACGCACAAAATGGAATCTTATGGCACATTGAAGATCAACAGGTTTTCTTTGGCATAGAATGTTGTGGACTGCAGCCCATTTCTTGAGATACAGCTTATGTATTTTCTGATTCCTGTCTTGTGTATCAACCTACAGCTTATGATTCACATTGGGCTGGCCCCCACCTCAAAAGGAACCATAATTCTGGAGCAGTGTGGGAAAAACAAAGGCTATAAAGACAAGGATGTTTGTGGGTTTTGCCCAGAGGATGGCTGCTGTATCTCGGAGGGCCCAGAAAAAATTGAATCTCTAATTAATATGAAGACAGTCTGGAAAAATCTTCAGCTGGAAGGGATTGATGTTGTTTTTTCACGAGATGCAGGAAGGTAAATACTTGTTGTATTGAGAAGCCAGGCCAGTTGTGGGAGTTGATATTCAGTCATCAAAATTTTCTTCAAGGAAAGCACATAAAACCAAAATGACAGCATTTTCTGTTCATAATGCAACATGATCTATGTAGTCTGAACTACATAAACTCAACTTCTGTTCTGCAACTTTCAGATCAGCAGAACAGTGGTTGCCTCCAAAGACATTAAAGTATTGCTGTACTGTGATATTTAAAGTAAATGTTTACATCAGTATACAAATTCTGTCAGAGGTTACATGGAAAATGAATTGCAGTAGAAACATTCAGATGAGATGCCAATTATACATGTGCTTGACATAGCAAAAGATCTACAAAAGCAAAGTACACTGTGCTGAGATAGGTTATTTGCCTGCCTTTTGTAGGCATGTGAACAAAGGTTTTTGTTAGTCCATAGTCTTGGCTAGGATATAAAGAAATGAGACTTGATGGGCCAGCTCAGAACTACATTAAATTGTTTTTCAGTATTATGAGCATTAATCCAGATACGTCTTGGTCTTGCACATTCTCATCAGGCCTTCTGGCTTCTAGATGCAACAAGTCCAGAAATTTAGATTAATCATGTGTTTAGTTTAACCACCAGTTAATCTTAACTCAGTTTATTGGAAATCAGACATTGTCAATTTCATAGCTCAATAACTTTGCTACTTCTCTCCCAACATTGTTAAGATTAACTACAGTTTAGGGCCTGGGTATAACACTTTGCTGTGAATAAAATGAAACTGAAAGCTTCTAAACTTTTTTGTAGCAGTGCTGGAACAGAAGGGATAAAACAACATGCAAATTGGAGGCTTTTCAGTTTAAAACTCCCATAAATTAAGATGAAATATAAACTAAGTCACTCTTTGCACTCAGGCCTATAGCATTTATCTCAAGAAAGAGGGCTGCACTTCCAAAGTGCTTCATGTACCACTGCTAACAGATACATTAAGAATAACCTCACTGACCTCATCCAGATGTTCAATGCATGTGTAGCCCCTCTTAGGCTCCAAGTGCTTATCTGCATGCTTGGTCTGCTGTGTGTGGCTTTATCTCAAACTTTGGTCCATTCATCCATGAAGAGACTGGTGGTTATTGAGACTCTGCCTCTGCAGACTGCTCCATCGCTGTGAGTGGTGGAAGCAGACCTGCATTCATGAAGGAACGCATGCATAGCTCTGCACCTTTCCATTAAAACAAACAGCATGAGAATTGGATCACTGAACTGTAGCTCCAATAGCAACTAAACTTGCGTCAACTCCTATACAGTGGTGCCTTGCTTGACGACGTTAATTCGTTCCAGTGAAATCGCTGTGGAGCGAAAACGTCGTCAAACAAAATAAAAAAAACCATTGAAACGCATTAAAAACCGGTTAATGCGTTCCAGTGGGTGAAATACCTAATTGTCCAGCGAAGATCCTCCATACGGTGGCCATTTTCGGGTGCCTGTCTTGCGAAAAATGCCTCCTAAAAACAGCGGGGAGCCATTTTGAGCAGCTGGCGGCCATTTTGAAAACCCGACGATTAGCTGTTTTGATCGTCGTAATGCGAAGAATCGGTTCCCGAAGCAGGGAACTGATCGTCGCAGTGAAAAAAACCCATCAAAACATTGTTTTGCGATCGCAAAAACATTGTCGTGAAGCGGATTCGTCGTTATGTAAATAATCAATCGTTAAGCGGGGCACGACTGTATAACATTCAGATGTGAAGCTATCACAGAAATGTAAATAATTTGATGAACCGGGAATGTGTTTAAGCAGTTGCCACATTACCTTTTTTAGTGAAATTTACTCAAGGATGTTATTAGTACCAATACTAATTGGTATTGGAGCTAGCAGCCAGTATATATCATAAAGTTCTAAATGTTTCCTTTCCCCCACATTGCAGATACCTCTGTGATTATACCTATTACATCTCTCTCTACTACGGTAAGAGAAGAGCAGCGTTCATTCACGTGCCTCCTCTCTCCACGCAGGTAACAGCAGAATTTATTGGAAAAGCACTGCAGAGAATTATCAGAGAGATGCTGGATCAATGCAATGGGGAGAATATGTAAAAATAAATGTTAAAAAAATGTTGCTGCGGATGTTCATTTTTGTCCAAACCTTTTTAATGGAAACATGACTGCCGCCCATAGTGATCCTGAAAAAGAAACACGGATCAAGCATCATTTGTATACTACACAGCTGTGCGGACACCTACATTCGGGCTTCGATGTTCTAAGCTGTTTTGTGCGCATGAAGGCACAGAATGGAACAAAGGAGCTTTACATGTACACTCAACCCTTGCGTTCACCCTGTGCTAGAAACAGAAATAACCCCGCCAGTGGAGGACACAACGACTCAAATGCATCTGCTGTAAATGTTAAAGGCTACAGAAGTTTGGAAACAGGAGCCTAAATATCTAAAAATGGCTTTTTAAACACGTTTCTGCATTTCTGATGAGAAAAACCTTAAGTGCTAAGAGCTTTGTTATCATAGATCTTTTTTCTTACGATAAAAATTGGTCCAAAGGTGGGCAGGAAAATTTGTCTTAGGCAAATAGAAAAGGAACTCTTTAGATTTCTCATCCCAGCGTACCTTAGGAATGTTCTTTGTACAGGGAAGAAAAGGACACATAACGAGCACAAATGCATACAGAATCCTTTTTATTTAACTTAATCATGTAGTACTGCAACTACTAGAAAAAAGCAGAGTAAGAGAAACTAAAGCAGCCGCTTCAGCCATTCAAAATAGACAAAAGGTTCTTTTTTTCATAATGTAAAGAATCCAGAATATATCGCAACAGGAATAAATTCTTACAACAGAATATACAAAAACATTTTTAATTTCTTTTTCATAATCTACTGATTCATTTTAATATAAACACAGGAATTTCTTTAGGAATAATTTATACACAGCAAGTCTTTATGTAATAAATTGGCCATGTGATTACTGTTTTATTTTTTAAACTTTTTTTAAAAAAAAAATCTGTATTTTAAACAAGATAACTTGGAAAATGTTGTGTTTGCAAATGCATTCGGTTGGGGGAGGGGAAGGTTGTTTGGTTTTTGTTTGTTGTTAAAATCTTCTTTTCTTTTGTCCCAGAGGTAGATCTCTGGCCAGTCCTTTCTTCTCAAAACCTCACTGGCTTAGAAAACAGAAAACAAAAATAATGATTCTCAAAAAGGCAGTGAAGCCACCCAGCGTATCCTTCAGGTAAAATGAGGAAGGAACCTTTTTTAATTTGGATAAAGAAAGATCTTCAGTATCCTTGTTTAAATAATTACAATAAATAGGGATCCTTAATAATCATTGAAACACAAACTTTTAATGTTGCTAAGTAACACATAAAACTGTAAATCGAGAGTTGTATAAAGTACATTGCATTCTAAACCACCTTTTCTTTCTATAGAAGCGAATCTGTAAACAGTTCTTTCATTTAGCGAGATGTACTGAAAAAGATGGCTTTTCGCCACACCTCCTACTTACTATGCAGTCGTATCCTTCAATGAACTGAGGCAGCAATAGTAAACCAATTACTGAAATATCAGCAAACGTCTCTCCAATCCTAAGCGCATTTCCTTGGTGAAGGAAGCATCACCAGAGTCAGTGCCATTGACTTTCATCCACAAAAAAAATGCTCTTAGGATTGCTGCCAGAGACCGTTTAGCAGCAATACCTGGCTCTGTTTCCTTAACCAATGAGGTTTGTCCCAATCCACGCCCACGCAGTAAAAGCAGAATGACCAGTTGAAGATGATCCCCATCCATCTGGAAGACCAGGCGACTGAAGATACAGAACATTTTCTGGGTGTACAGATACTTGGGGCAAATCATTAAACTGTAATTTAAAAGTTGATAGAGGGTGTTTCTTTTTTGGCATACTGGAAAGCTAACTACTAAAACCTGTTTTTCTAAAAAGAAAAAAAAGGGGGGGAGCCTTTGATACACACACGTACACACACACACACACAGAAAAGTGCCCTTAAATTATCTGTAGGCGTTTATAAACTACGAACATTTTTTTATAAAAATTATTCTACGTACTTACAAAATGCAATGAAATACGTAATTAGTTTTTGTAAACCAGATCTTTGTCAACTGACTACCCGTAATCTACTGGACTTAAGAGCCCTATTGAAAATGTTAATGGATTACCAGTCAACAGAAAAGTATATAAAAATGAAAAGATGACAGCTACACACATACAACCATTCGACATGTACCACACCTAATGAAAGCCACTTGAAATTTATGCAACACTTAATTATGGTCAGCTGGCTCAGTGCAGGAATCCCTTCCAAATGATCCCATAGACACCGAATGCATATTCTTCACACCATTGCTGGCGTGTTTACAGCAATGGAACCATTAAGATGAATAGGGAGTCCATCGTATGCTGCACTTCCATGTACATCTGAAGCTCAGCGTAAATGTATAATTTTTTTTATTTGACGTGCCTAACTCCAAAGCAGAAGTGTGCAGCATTGTGGCTTTCTGGACTACAACCCCCAAGATCCCCCGGGCAGTTATGTCCAAGAAGTCATATATCTGCACAACTTTGTTCCAAAGCAAGGACTAGATTTCAGTTCTGCAAGTTCAAAATAATTAACTATGAATTCTAGTCATGAATGGAGCCATAAAAGTAAACTACACTGACCATCAGTCAAATAGTATTTCTTCCCCCCAAATTTTAAATTTTTTTTTAGCTTGGGTAGACCGTGTAGTTCTGAAAACCTATTAAAAAGAAATATATGGGCTTCAAGCTAGCACCGGTTAGCCGCCTGAACTGAAGTATTACTTAACAGCATATTGAATATACCCCATGTGTTCTGTATCTTCAGCACCTTCACCAATGGCCAACCTATGTGAATATGCGTTATTTTACTTTATGTCAACTGTATGTTTATTAGAGAGTGGGATCTCTGTATCTAGAATTTATCACTGTGATACACACACATGACAAGGAGCTACATGCTGTCAACTGTCATGCTCACTAGTGATGGAGAGTAAAAAAAGGAAGTTTCTGACTACTGGAATGGAAAGGGTTTTTTCTTTTAATATAACCGTAACATTATACCCACAATAAGAATGTCAGTCATATAGCCATGGATTGTACAGAACCCTCAGCAGTTCTCCGAGATCTAAAGAGCAGTTCCCATCTTGTAACTAGTCCTGGGATAACTGGGACTTTTTTTTTTAATCAACAGGAGCATCGGTGCTAACATATTTTGTTTGACAAGGTCTTCACTTTGCCATGGAACTGTTCTCAAGGAGCAAAAATATTGAGCAGAGGAAGAAATTCAGCCGGAAACCAGCTCTGCTTCATACTCTGCTTCTCTGTCTAGCTCTTGTCAGTGCAAGTAAAATAACTCAAAAGTTAGCGGACAACATGTCTGTGCTGTTAACAGGCTACTTCTTCTGAAACCAAACCACCTTCTGTGTAACTGCTGTATTTGAAACAAGATAACTTGGAAAATGTTGTGTTTGCAAAGTCCCTGAACCAGGTCAGATGAGCCTGATGTGGCCCTGAATGACTTTTTTTGGGGGAAGGAAGATGCCTAAAATCTAAATAAAATGTTAACTCCTGTAAAAGAAATGGCAACAGTAAATGGTAAGTTAAAATTTCTTGTTATTACCATGTTTGGACAGAATGCAAGTAAAGAAACTAAAAATGGGAATTTTGTAACCTGACAAAAATACAAAAAAAATGCCTCAAAATTTTTTATCCAATTAAATGGAAAACTAGAACAGCCCCTTGACAGTAAATCAAACAAACAATGGGGTAGAAAATGTTTTGAACCCTCTGCTGTTTTTTTGTACTTGCCGATTAGAAATTGGAATCCTTACTGAAAGTTCAGAAAATAGCCAGTCTACTAAGCAGTTTTTAAAAGAGGGAGTCAGGCAGTTTTGGAGAAATTGTAAGCCCGTTAGTCTAACATCTGTCCTAGTAAAATGAGTGTGATGCATTAAAGATAGGATTATTAAAGAGAAACCGCTGAGTGCGTTCTGAAAAAGGATGTTCGTACTTCATGAATGTTTTAAAGATAATCCTGTGGACATTACAGTATACAATTGGACATCCAACAAGCTTTTGATGAAATCCTTCAAAGTCTTCTAAATAAATACAAGCCTTGTCTTTACATGAAAACTAGATCTTCTTATGGAATAGTAATATGTTAAACCACAGGAAGTGGGGGACAAGAACAAAGCCCCCTCCCCTGCAAGAATATAAGCTATGAGGTCCTTCCCCACCCATAGCCCAGGATCTCAGTTGGGACCGGCAGTATTAACATGGAGTTTATTCAAAGATGATCTGCAGATGGGGTAAGCAGCGAGGTAGCCAGATTTGTGAATGGCAATCAGGATGGTGAGCACCCTACCTGATCACAAAGACCACCCCACTTAAGAAATAAAAAGGTAGGTAGATAGCAAATGATATTCTGTCTGAATTTATGGATACCGTGGGGCAAGACGCTGATGGGATATGAATTGTTCAGAATCACACCTTGGGGACTGTAGTGATTAGACACACAAAACACAATGAGGCAATCAACTGCAAAGAAACCGCAAATATTGTACTGTACTGCTGTTTAAAAATCTGTGGTGCAAATACTGTGTATAGTTCTGGACATCCCAACTCAGCAAGTCTGACACAAGAGACTGAAAAGGTGGAGAAAAGGGAAAAACCAAATGATCAATAAGTTACAGCACCTCCAGTATGGGGGGAGAAAGTAAAAATGCCCAGAGACTTTTAAATGTTTTTTAAAAAGGAAACAAAGTGAGAGTTACAGTGTGAGGAACATACAGAGATTTCTAAAATATGCACGATATAGAGAACTTGAAGTAGAATGCATTCCTTCCCTCCTAATTCTAGAAATCACTCAATCGGCAGTAGATTTAGGGTGCCAAAAAGAAAATACAGAATGTGCTAACAAGATGTGAAGATAGGCCCTGGCCGAAATGATTTAAAAGGGAGCTGACAAATTCACAGAGAATGGGCCTATCAATGCTTTCAGCTATAATGCTTAAATGTGTAGATTCAGGCATAATGAGTATATAATTTCCTGCAGGGAGGCCTACTGCTTTCATTGCCTGGAAGCTTCAAGGTGGTTGCTACTTAGAAACAGGAAGGGAGATAAAATGGAACTTTGCTCTGATTCCTTTGGGCTCCTCATGTTCACAAGTAAACACCTATTTCAGCTTTCTGTTTCCCTTCTGAAGCCAATATATTTCTTTCTTTCTTTCTTTCTTTCTTTCTTTTGAAGTTACACATCTTGTAGCTGAAAGAGCCAATTTCATTTGAGTTGACTTTTAAGAGCATGAATAGAGATTTCTACAACTGGAATTCAGACCCAAAATAAGTTTCCACCCCATGCAAGATGACAGCCCTGTAGGGAAAAAACAACAGGTTTACACCTAGAATCAAGCCAACATAACTTCTTTCTTTGACATCCATAAACAATACAATCAAACCATCAACCAAAGAAAGTATGGGAAAAGCCAGGTAGGTAAAGTAATCTGGAATGAACACACACACACACACATATAGACCTGTAGTTTTTTTTAAAGGCTGTATAAACCCAATCGGATATTTAAAATTATGTTGTGCAGAATACAATGGTAGCGGTGGCAAGGTGGTTTTGATTCAGATGGGCTGACTTGTTGTATGAACCTGTTTAATTTACATGACCGCCTTAACACTTGCATGCTTCGGAAATATATGTTTAAATCAGCACTACTATGTTAGTGTTTTCTCCTAGTGTTTCTTAACCACCTACAATTAAAAAAAAAATAACTTGGACAGTTTTAAACAAAACCCCTCTTAGCCAGCTGAAAAGATCTGAGGATCCCCACTGTCGTGGAGATTAGTATGTGCAAGAGAAGAAAGGCCACCACCAAAATAACCAAAAACGTCTGCCAAGAAAAACAGTTGAAATCAAGGGCACTAAGCAAGGGGAAAGCCCACCTAGATAGATGCTAAAGCATCCTTCTGTATTCAACGGAACACCTGATGTGTCTCTAACCATGGTAATCTGCTTTTTGTTTTGAACCAGTCAGGTATCACATGATTCAGACACCGGAAGCAGTACCTGGAAGAGCAGCTACCAGAGACCCAGGAAGTTTATCCATTTCACTTGTACCCCTAGTGCCAGTTCTGACAACCAAGTTAAGTCAGGCGTCATGTCTGCGAAGGCTGCTTTGGAGGCAAGTGAAATAATTTCCAGACTTATCAGCAGCACATTCAGTTCTGAGCACAGAACTGAGAAGGAGCAACTCCACCATTAACTCTGAAGTGTAAAATTGAGTGGTTTGAGGGTGATCACATTTCATTGTTCGATCTGGCCAAAGAACAAAACTTCCACTTCCACTGTGCCAACATCTCCATTTTGCTTGGGGCATCTGAAATACAGATGTCTGCTTTGGCCTCTCCTCCGTATTTGACAGTGAGCACCCAAATTTAGTATATGACCAGTGCATGGCAAACCTATTACCATGGACTGATTTTTTTAAACACACACACACACACTCCAAGGAGTAGCCACTTCAATCCAAATGACCTGGGTCTTTCATCAAGCCATCAAGCACCGTTCTTCTAGAGGTAAATCATAGGCATAGTCCCTTGAGTTTTTCACATGTTTACTTGGCATTAATAACTTTCGATTTTAATTCAAAGGATTGCTTTCAACCCTCAAAAACACATCCGGATGAAATCATACATGTGTCTTAAAGGAGCAGCTAGCAACTTTTTCAAGTCACCTTTTTTTGATTCAAGCAGTGGCCTCTCTTCTCCAAAACCCGGAGGATGTGGTTTGTACAATGAATGAGGTTACCGGTATTCAACAGTATATTGTCGGTTGCTGAGAAATGTGAGATGTATATTTTTATATATACACACAAAAAAAATTAAGAGTGAGGTAGATAAATGTTTGAAAAAAAAAACAAAAAAACCTGTCCAAAACTCATAACTCAAAAAAAAAAAAAAACAACAACCCTTATCTCAGTATTTAAAATTTATTATGGGGCATTTCTACAGTGATTTAAACTAATAGCACAAAAATAAATTTTAAAAAAAAGTCCTACACAGAATACCATTTTTTTTCCTTTTTCATTTTTTAAAAAGAGAGAGAGAGAAAAAAACAACTGACTATAAGAGGTGATAAAAAGATGGTGGGACTGAAGCTACACAAGCGAGGAAAAAAAAAAGCACTACAAACATATTTTATCTCCAGTCACATCTAGCAGTTATATTTTAATTCTTTGTTCTTATTCAAACAACCCCTCCCCCGGGGGGGAAAAAAAGAAAAAAATTAAATTCATCGTTTCCATCCCAGAACAACCCTTCTATTTGCTGCTAGACTTTGGTTGATCAGTGCTAATACAGAACTTCCATGCAGTAACTACAGGTGAATTAACAAGTGTTAAGGCACCTTAACTTTGGAAACGGGTGGGGTGGGGAGAATCCCTCTTTCAGGACAAAACACATGCAACTCAACTAACAAATTCCCATTGGTTTTGTTTGAGAAGTCTGGTCTGAACTGCCGGCATGAACCTCTACACAGAGCGGAACGAATCAAACAGCTGGCTCATGCACATAGTGGCCCCAAGCACTCAACAGTTTCGGCAGCTTGCCTCCACTTTTAACCATCCACCTTTTTTAAAAAAAAAAACTTATTTTTTAATCCACTTTTCTAATTTGGAAACTAACCATCAGAGCCTACTTGGGGGGAAAAAAATAAGTGAAGGGCTCATGACTGTCTAGAATTACCATTGGCTGAGAACTAAAGACACGCGTCGTTCATAGGACGGAAGGGTTACAATGTTCAGTTAGGATTATTATTATTACTGGGAAAACAAACGACCCCAAAGTCTGGTATTTGCAGCTCAACAGCCATTGCACCCAACAGGTTAAAATACATATGCATGAAATTTTATGTGTGTGGTTGTTTGCAAGACACAACCAAGAGAAGGCGAAAGGAAAGCAGGGTGAGGTGCTTGGACACCAAGATGAACATGAACACTGAATAAGAATATACTAAATAGTTATTTTTCCCCCCCGACCTGAGTTTCCATTACATCTTGCACTGTAACAGCCATGGGTGCTGTACGGGCGAAGGGTGAGAAAACAGGAGGGTACGGTTGATAAAAGAGGATGATACATACCTGGGCATGACACTGCACTACCAGCAATATAATCCTTCCCCCTTCCAACCCCACAAAGAGTGTTTTAACCCAAACAGCTTAGATATTGTTGTTTTCAACAAGGAGGCAAACATGATGTGGGCAGGGGAGAGAGAAAGGGAGGAAAAAGAAAAGCAGACATGTTTTTATAAAAGGCATTCAACAGTTGATGGCAATATATCATGTTTCAGGTATTGCGATTTTGGGGAAACGGTGGTAGGCATGGAGTAGAACTTACACATTATATAGTACAAAGCATAAGAAATTTGTCAGGAATGGGGGCAGCGGGCAGGGGGGGAAAGGGTGGCAAGGGGAAAAAAAGGGGGTAGACCTGAAGATTTCTTATAGATTAAATCCACAAAGATAAAGAACAAAAAAATAGCAGCTTTTTTTTCTGTACAGACATATAGATGAGTATCTGAACTGTAAAAAAGTTATAAAAGTGACACAAAAAGACAATGTGTATGCAAATGATCCATGGTCTAACATAGAACTGCAAGACCCTTTGAAGTCTTAATAACAGAGAGAAAAAAGGTCAACAAAGTGTTGGATGCTCAAATCCATTTAATTGGCTATTCTTCTCCAATTTTTGTGTTTAAGATTTTCTTTCTTTCTTTCTTTCTTTTAAACCTGCAAGCCTGCCAAGGAGAGCAGGGACCACTCATGGAAATCCCTTCTGGTTTTATCTGTGTTTATTTCCTTTTTGGAGTGCTGTTGAATTTCTGCATGATACATCTTTTCCCCCCTTTGATTTGGCTCACCAGTGCCAGTTTTGTCCAGAATAAAAGGGTGGGTCATTTATTTAACCTCTATCCCTTGTGTTCTCAACTGCATTTTTTTAAAAAAAAAAATGTTTTTGTCCAGTCAAAAGAAATCTGACAATTTTATCTTTTTAAAATGCCAGTGTATGATTGGAGTGTATTGGTCTATTTCACTTATGTGGAGCATGTGATTATTTTGCTCCTTTCATGCCTACAAAAAAAAAATTCTTAAAAGAAAGTTCTTTTTTTTTTTGGCAATTTTTGGCAGCGTTGAAAATGGTTACAACCTTGGACAAATAATGGCCCTTCCAATCTATGTGATCCTAAATGGTTAAGGAATAATATTAAAAATCCAGTCTGTTTTCCTTTAAATCCTGTTTCGTTTTTATAACAAGCTACAGTGTTAGGCAGGTGCTTGCAAGGGGGAACAAGAGAGCCGGCTGGCTTGCAATCTCATTGATGTGATTTTAAAAAAAGTGCCGTTCAGTTGAACTTCACACAGATATGTTTCCCATTATGAAGCAGAGAGAAAGAAGAGGAAGGGGGAGATGCACATCAGATTCTCAAGTTTTCTGTTGCTATTAAGTGTTAACGGTAGTTTTCAGAAGGCTGACTGTGCTCCCCATGTACAGAGGTCTGTTGCTTGAAACAATCTTCTGCTTGCATATTGAAAAAAAAAAGGAAAAAACTGCTTTCCAACTTCTAATTGAAGAGAGGATTCTCCGGTGTGTAGCCATGACAGCTCTGAAGATCCACTGAGGTACAGTAGGCTTTGAATATATTGTTATTTGTCTTGCTTGCTTGCTTGCTCTCTTCCCTCCAGCCCCCCCGGTGCACGCCCATGTGTGTTTGCAAAAACTTGCTTCTAAAGGGTCAGCAGGCTGAAGACTGGGGCAAAGGCAAGGCGCGTTCATTCTTGCGTCCCCCGTTCATATGCGCGTACGGCTGCCTCTCCTCAAAACTGGCCCGCAGAGCCACCATGCCGGGGCCGTTCTCAGCTTTATGTCCTGAGTGTTTGTCAGAAGATTGGAGGGTCGAGGAAGGGTCTAAAGGAATGCTCTCCATGTTCTCTGTCTCCAGATCCAGCTCTTCGGTGTCCGGAGGCTTGTTCTCGTCACTGTAGAAGAAGGAGACCTCTTTGAAGGCTGGATCGAGCTCATCTTTAATGCTCCCAATGATTTCCAGGAAGGAGGGCCTCATCTTGGGGTTGTACTGCCAGCACATGCGCATCAGTTCAAAACTGGGGGAGAAAGAGAAGACAAGACAGGTCTAAGGGGATTATAATTCATGGGGGTTGCGGGGGGGTGTTAAAATATATTTTACTGTATTTCTTGCCCCACTAAATGTTTTACACTCTCAGATATCCTGTTCAGCGTAGCCGCTCATTCAGGATTGCAGGAGTTTTCGTCCAAAACATCTGGTGAGCCCAAAGTTCTCCAGTTCCTGATATGATCAGCTACAAGAGACTTCACCAATTGGAAAAAAAAACCTAGTATACTCTTTAGGTCAAAAGTTGTACATTAAGGCAAACCTCTAAGGCAAGGTAGTGTTACTCACAATCGAGTAACGGTCGACCAACCTGATGCAAGCGTGTGAGAATCAGGACTAACCGTAAGAAGAGCAACATGCTGCCACGCCTAATGATGAGCCTTACAGGACTTCCAAAATATGAAGTACTCAGAAGCAGTTTGCCCATCCTTCCTTCTGGTAGAGCAGTGGGACCATTAAGCTCTCTCTCCCCCCCCCCGCCCCACTACCCCAAAGTGGCACAGGAATCGGTCACGTTGGCTATGCGTGCTTTGGGTGACCTCAGCAGGCCCCTCCTGCAAGTGCGAGTGACACCAGCTTGTAAGTATCAGCATTATTCAGAAGAATCAAAAACCCGAAAAGTCTAAAATGAACAAGTGAAACATGAAGTACAATACAACTGCACAGAATCTTCCCATTTATACAGGCCAGCTGCAAAGAGATAAAACAGCAAGTGTGGAAAGTGGGAGAGAATAAACAGGCTTTTTTCTTCCTGAACCTTGTAAACAGGACAGCCTGCAGTCAATTCATAACCATCCAGAAACACAACACCAGCTAGGAGGTGGTGGCCCGCGTGGCTTCCGATTCCCGAAATGCACCCACCATATTTATCATGTATGGAGGGACACAACTATCCATCAGAAGGCACCTTATGTCCTGCTCAAGCATGCCCATTCTGAAACCAAAAAAGGTCCTAACTCTACTTCTATGAATTTAGACTGAAGTTGCAACAAGTTCAAGGCAGAGAATCAGAGTGAGATGAGCAAAAAAAAAATTTGCAGGTAGTGTTTTCTGTGTACAAACACAAGTCAATGTATTATAAATGTATTGAACCTTCACAAAAACAGTGATGATAAAATGCTAGCCTTCCTTCCCCTTTCTCTCTCTTAAAGTAGCCTAGGGGTGTGTGTTTTTTACCCTTTTCTTGAAAGCAGATGGTCATGTTGCAACGGTCACTATTACCCTGCCGCCCCCCCCCCTTCGCATTCAAGAAGAAAGACGGTGACATCGATACCCAAGATCCATTCCTGCTACCTCATCACTGTTCCTTCCCAGCTGATTCTCCGTCTCTGAATAAAAGTGCTAGCTGGGGCCAAAAGCATGGGATCTATTGGCTGGCTCTTCGCCCCGTGCGGCCTGAGGGGCATAGCTGAGGAGATACTAGAACAAGGAGAATGCCACGCGTAACCTCCGTGCCAGACAATCCACGTGACGCTGCCTTAAAGCCATTCCACTCCTTCCCATAAAAGGAAGTTTTCCTTACCCAGGAAGTTAAGAGGCCTCATTTACACAACCCTGGAGGAAGAAGCATCTTCCTGAGATGGAGTGAAACTCTATAAGCTTTTCGTACTCAGCATCGCAAGCAACTAAAGGAAACGAGTGGCTAGCAGCAGTAGCAGCACCTTCTTTTCCAGAGGCTGGAGTCCCTTTTCAGATTAGTGGCCTGGGAACTCTGGTACTTGTTACCCCAGAAAGCAATATTTTTTTCTCTCACCTCTCTGCTCTTTGCTAAGGGGAGCAAAGAATTAGTAAACACGGTGTGGCTGCTGCCCCAAAACCTTTCAGTAATATAACAATTCTCTTCCATTTTGCACACCGCCTTAAGAAGTAGCCATGCCCACAAAAGACAATTTATAAATAAAGGAACACATAGATCCATAAAATTAAAATATGGATTTTAAAGCCAGAAGTTTAGCCATTCAAAAGTTGCAACAAGAGAGTTCCAGCTGTGCCACAGCAGCTTTCCAACCATCTCTCTCTCTCTCTCTCTCTCTCTGAACATACGAAGTCTTGGTGGTTATACGGAGGAGAGGAGAGGGTGTAAATTCAAGCCACCTGCTGTGATCACTTGCTTTCAAAAAGGCATTTATTCTATCAAAGATAGAAAGAAAAAACTATTATATAAAGGGTTAATTTAAGAAGCCTATAAAATAAATAATTCCTTTAGCTACAAAACTGTGTCAGTTCCTACCTATCATCAGGCCCCGTGTTCACTTGCACTCAAAGGTTATACATGCATAAATTAATACTCAGAGAATATCTCAAATTAATATTGAGAAATATTAATTTGCCCCAAAGCCTTCAATTCATACCACCACCCGCTCACTCCGTTCTGCGGCCTGCCTTGTCGAATTATTCCCACAAGACCAAGCATAATTTCAAGCCCATCTGACACTGCTAGAGATTCCCAATTAAGGAGGGAAAGAATGCAAGGTGGGTCGCAAGGCAACCTCCAGCTGTCTCTTCCTCTGATCCGACCCCGGCCACGGAGCCGCAAAAGCAAGGGACTGTTACTTGACACCGCCCCAAAATGGCCAAACAAGCCGTTTTCATGGAGAATCCCAAACAGCTGAGGCCCCTTAAGCTATTCCATCCCCGTCACGAGGGCCTCCAAGCAAAGTAAAATAAAACCCCAACAACCCAAAACCCTGCATCGCAAAGAACTGAATTAAACCTCAAGGTAGGAGACATGGTGTTGGCTGGGACTCCCACTCACCTGTAGCTGCAGAACTTTGTAGAGCAGTGATCCCCAACCTTGGGCCTCCAGATGTTTTTGGACTGCAACTCCCAGAAGTCTTCACCACCACCTCTGCTGGCCAGGATTTCTGGGAGCTGAAGTCCAAGAACATCTAGAGGCCCAAGGTTGGGAACCACTGTTGTAGAGAACTAACGAAGAGACCATTTTGGCTTAAAATGGCTGAGAGAGTCCTTTGATGAAACGTGTCTTTTATGGCTGTGTGGGACAGAGTAGCATAACCTACAGCCGAACTTTGACATCATCATCATCATCATCATCATCATCATCATCATCATCATTATTATTATTANNAGTGTTTGGGGAATTTTATGTTTGTGCATGTGTCTGGTCTCTGGGTGTCTGTGAATTTTGTTGTATGGGTATACTGTGTATATACTTACAATGACATATTATTATTATTATTATTATTATAAAAGACTCCTATACCCTTTCTCTACCAACATGGCTATGTCGGCCAGGGGGGGATTATGGCCATTTGATAGAGAGAAAGGTCTGGTGTGCAAGCCAGAGGTTTGGCACTGGACCTGGTCATTTATTATTTGAATCCATAAGCGAACACAACCTGTTCTACAGATCATGTCTCAGCTTTGTATGTACAAGCCTTCTGCATATTGAAGAAGACTCATCCATTGACCTCTTCCCTGCTACTAAGTCTGTAATTACAGTAACCAGTTTGCCATTTTATTCCTAACAAGCCAGGGTCTTAAATCAAGTTTGAACTGCAAGATCCCGGCTTATTTTGGAATCAGTAACCACTGTTTACTGTTTATCATAAAACATGAAAGCTATGGCTAGTTAGAAATGTATGAATTTATTCAGATACGTCACAACCAGAGAAATGTGATTCACAGACCATGAAGAAGAAGGGGGAATGTGCCTCAACAACAACAACAAAACCTTATTAATAATAATCTAATATGGGAACTCTCTTAGCTTGGGTGTACTCCTCTCTAAAAGGAGAGGGTGAGCGCAGCAATCAACCTTTACCAAGACATTGGCTGCAGAGTCCGGCTAGCGCCTTTCTGTGAAGATGTATGAGTCTACATCAAATATAATGCTACCAGAGTGGAAATGCCCACTAAGACAGTTTCACTACATCGCACCGCGGTGAAACTGCCTGTGCAAATGGCTTGAACAGCAGCTGGTGCAACAAGGACTCTATTGGGTATCATGTTTAAGATAACTTGTGACGATGCACAACTGTTAAGGAGAAACAGGTCCTTTGCTGGTGCAATAACATCAGTGAACGGAGGTCACAGGGAGCACTGGAAGCTCAGGGAGAATAGATCTGGGAGAAGGGCTATCTTAAAAATTTAAAGCTTATCGTGACAGGAGAGATGATCATCTTTTCCCAGCAGTATCAGATTTTGCAAACTCTTTCCTGCCTGATCCTCACTCTCAGCAGTAACAGCAATATGAGGACCACTCTGCAATGGTGCAGTGCCACACACTCCCAAGACCCACAAAACAGCACTCATGTCTCTGCTTAAACTGTCCAAAGAGACTGAGAACATAAAAGATGGCAATGCAATGAGAAACATCTGGAACTACATACAGCATATCCGGACAGTTGTCTGGCTTCTCCAGAAGTCCGCCCTCCATCACGAAGCGAAGGACTTGCTCGTTGGACATGCCTTGGTAAGGCTGTTCGGCTAACGTGGCTATCTCCCACAAGACAACACCAAAAGACCTGCAAAGAAAAAAACTATGTGTTCAGAGGCATTCCAGATGCTTGAGACAAATGATCCTGTCCACTAGGCAATGACTGGGCTGTTTTGCTGAGCGCTTCCCTGCCAGGCATAAAGGCAAAGGCACAATAAATGAAAGCTGCATCATGCAGTTAGCAATAACTGCAGCGTTTACTGTGCTAATACTAGTATGTTTGTAACAGACGGGGAACATTTATTACTGTAGCCAGGAGTCCAAAACACCAACGCTTTCTATCTCCGGATTTTAGTTAGTCAAAATTGATTTAAACCTCTTCTATATCATTTTTATTCTAGTTAGACATTCCTAATATAAGCTGTTTAGTGATATAATTATGTCAAATGGTATACCAATACTATGAATACAAAGAGGCATTGACTTATACCGTGCAATAAGAAAGCATTTTAGGCTGTACGAGACCAGTAACTCCTCCTTGGAAATAATGCATAAAAAGTAATACAGCATATCTGTATGTCACACCTTTAGCAAACTGCATTGCAGCAGAAGCATAAATCATGATATGTGCTCACTCTCTATATCTTGTCCCAGGTAAGAACACAGCATCCTAAGAGAATTCCCACTGGATCGGAGTAAAGATCAGACATCCTAGTTTGTTGTTTGTGCAAACCCCAACTTCCTACATTCGTACAGAGCAGGAAACTAATTTGTTATAAACTGAACTGGGAATGTTACATCTCTCTTGCACGTAGAAAGGGGAGGAGAAGAGGGTCCACCCTCAAGCTGGCCACAGTGCAGTCTTTTAAAGTTCAACTATGGTTCCTGTGTGGCTCTTTTAAGAAAAGAGCATGCTACTAAATTTTAAACATTAAAAAAATATGACAAGTATCCTGTTCAAGTAATTTGCAAATAAAGCATTCAGTGTTGACACTTCAATCATATTCAATGCAGTTTATCGACTTCCTCCTCCTTCAAGCCATTTTTGGCTGTTGAGGAAATGGCTCATTTGAAATCTTTATGTATCATGTTGGTATTTTGATATTAATACCCTATTCACTTGGTATTCTGATTTTATTTACAGCCCATGAGTCCAACATACTAAATGAGATTCCATCTCATTTTTCCCTAATGTGGCACTTTTCAGAACTCGTGGATTACAAGACCCATCGCCCTAGGCAATATGAGTAGCCAGCAAATGATGGGGGTTGTAGCTCTTCAGACATTGCAGGTGCCAGATTGGGGAAGATTTAGTGTACTGGAAAACTGCGTAAATTGTTTGCAGGTGAACAACCCATACCACTTTGTTTTGGTGTTGTTTTTTTATTCTATTCCTGTGGTGCCCAGCGTGGAGTGGACCAGCTCACTCAGCTATCTAACAAAGCCACTAAATGTCATCTAATTGTGAAAAACAGAATAAAAAGTGGAGAAAGGATACAAACATTACCAATTATAAAAAGTTTATTGGGCAATAGATGTGCTGGAGAGAAGACTAGCTATTTTACTCACATAATGCAATAGGAAGCTGTTTTGTAAGTTTCAGATTCCCAATAGCAGGGTACTCCCCCACCTCAAAAAAAAGGGGGGAGTGACAAACAGGGCAGAAATCTGTAGTAATGTCCACCAGACATGACTGAAGGGAACTGGGTAAGATTACAAGGAAGGCCAATACGGGCTATGCCCCAGTAATGGAGAACGGTTCCAAAATATGTATAGAAATTAAAAATTCAAAGCATTCTAGCTAGAATTTCTGTGGGATGCACTGCTGATTATGAGCCATAAAGCAAGCTGTGTGTTGTTCACAGACAACCTGCAAGACACCTCCTTCTGGAAAAGACTGGAAGATATAAGCCTTATTTTTTTAATGTGTTGGAATTCAGGGACAAGTAGCCAGTGCCTGTAGCAAGTACTTGACGAATGTGCCCAAACTAAACAGACTGCTCAAGATGACATGTCTGTTCTGTTATGCAAGACAAGCTCCTATTTGAGGAGCGGGGAAAAGGAGTGGAGCCACTGCTCTTAGGCCAGCCACCAAGTCTGTTTTTAATTGCTCTGAATGCTTTGTAGAAGAGAAGACCCACTAAATGCCTGCACACCTCTATGAAACAGGGAGCAAAGATATGTTGTGCCATGATTTTAAAACAACAATGCTGGCGTGTAGCAAAAGAGATGCACAAGAGGAGGTAACACCCCTACACTATTTTGTTAATGCAATTCCTCTTTTGGCAGCACGCATTGCTTCGTTCCCTGTGTAAAACTGCAGTGGAACATTGTAGAAGGATGCAACACGTGCTGTTTAAAATGGTCCTTCCACATCGACTCAGATGTCGTAATCATCCCCCTAACAGAACCCCCTCCCCAGCGGTAATTAGAATCTCGTTACTCCAGGGTGTGGATGCAAACCATTCCCCACCGCCCACCACCCCTTGGCTTGCATATTAGTTCTGCCTCATTTATTTTCACTCTATAAATGGACTCTGAAATAAAAGCTCCGTAGCCAGGCTCCAAAGTTAGCCTTTTTCCACAAGACAAAAGAGCAGTAGGCTCTCTCTTTCTCCTGAAATGTGCCAGGGGAAGATGAAGGTTTTCCAAAATGCACCCAGCTGTTGAAGGAACACACATGCCCAACGCGGAGATTCAAAATGAAGTTCTGGAGTTATGGCGAAAGACGCCGACATGAAACAACGCCATTTTTTATTGTGCACTTTAAAGGCAGTTAAAGAATTTTTTTAAGGTACTATTCCCCCCCCCTTTGTCCAGGTACTGTTTTAAAAAAACATGCAGGTGTCTTAGAGAATTAAGTCAGCCCTAAAAACTATGCAGATAGTTGAGACTCACTTTGGGGGTTTTAGCATGGCAGAAGGGCCAAAAGAAAGGAACTACCGTATTTTTCCCGTGTATAAGACTATACTTTTGTTTAAAATCTTTAGACTAAAAATTGAGGGTTGTCTTATACACGGAAGTAAGCTGAGGAGAGAACAAAAACAAGTGGAGGGGAAAAGCAGGGATCAAAGCGATCCTGCAGTGCTTTGATCCCTTTCCCCCTGCACTTGCTAAGCCCCACTTAGATTTCTTAATTTTCAATTAGAAAAGTGGGGGGGCGTCTTATACATGGGGGGGGGTCTTATACACGTAAGAATACGATAATGCCCGGAGATAAAGTACACAGAACTTGCACCAGGGATACTGCAAACAGAATCAAAACAGGAAAAACCAGAGCCATCAACATGTTTGAGATGGTGTTTCCATAGACCTATAATCAGAAGCTTGAAGAAAAAGCATTCAAATAGTGCTAAAGACACTTTTAGTATTACCAAACGTCCGAGTGAGTGGTGAATACACCATCCTTCAGGGACTCTGGGGACATCCAGCGAACAGGCAGCAGCCCCTTTCCACCTTTCCGATAGTAATCGGTCTCATAAATATCTCTTGTCATGCCAAAATCTGTAACAGCCCATAAGAGAAACACGTGCTCAACATATCATGGTAAAAAATACATAAGAAAGAATAACACAGGCTAGTGGAATATGTCCAGGAACCCAACAACCCACAGAGTAAGACAGGTTGACAAACACCTGCCATTTGTCACTGCTGTTGCATTGAAACTGCAAGCCTCAACTCAGGTTTCCTTGCATGCAAAAGATGGGTTGGCAAGCCCTCATTTTTCTTGTGAGAGCAAGGACAGAGCTTCACACCATCAGAGACTGTTTTTTTTTTCCCAAACAGGGGTGTTCTTTACATTTCAAGCGATCTTGCAAAGCCTAGCTGACATATTTTTCAACCATTTTCTCTACAGCCACAATACATGTCCAGAAAGGTATTTTTTTTTTGTTTGTTAGAGGAAGTTAAAGCCGAGTCTCGCAGAACAGGGACTAATCTGTGGCAAAAGAAGTCACCTACCCGCACAGGACCAAAGGCTGGACATGGAACCGCACAATTTTAGTGGACTTTGTCATTCGAGAACAGGAAAGTCACCCGCTGGCCCATTTCTGTCAAAGGCCGGAATGAAATTTCCACTTCCTGCGCGTGCAGAGCACCCATCCCACCCACACCCCCAAACAAAAGGAGAAAGCATACCTCCAATTTTCACAGTGAAGTCCTCAGCCACCATGCAGTTCCTTGCCGCAAGGTCTCGGTGGACAAACTTGTTGGCATTAAGATAGGCCATGCCATCCGCAATCTCGCCTGCCATCTGAATCATCTTCTTCAGGGCCGGCAGAGTCTGAGCTGGGTTATTCTGAGCAAAGCAAAATGGGAGATGATGACCCCAACGTGTGTCAAAAAAGAGAGGAGGAAAAAAACACACTTGCTTTCTTCCTTGTCAAAGTCTGCCCGTCTGGCTCATCTTTATTACTCTTGTAGGCACCCTGTTTCCTTGGTGGGCCCCTGTAGAAGCGGGGTGCTGAAGAATAGCTAAGAACCAGTCTTCCATAGCTATTTGTTCAATGCACACGTGGTATGTTAAAGCATGAGTGGGCAAAAGGTGGCCCTCCAGGTATTGTTAGCCTGCTCCTCCCATTAGCCCTGGCTGGCAGAATCCACCGTGGGGAGTGCTAGGAACTGCAGTCCAGACACATCTGGAAGGCAACACTTTGCACAGCCTGTGGTCAACTGACAAAAGAGGAAGGGGCAAGGAAGGAAAGGGGGCAGCTGGAGCGGGAAAGAGACCTTCCATACATCCTCTCTCTCTCTCAGCTACTCTCTCCTGCTCCCTCAAACACTCATTTCAAGGGCTGTGTTTTTAGCCAGCAGGACATACAGCTCCTCCCCATTTTCAAGGAAGGAATGTTGTTTGCTTTAAAATCAAATGTTAATCTTTTTCTCATGCAAAGATCAGATGCTTTCACCGTGCCATCATAAATCACTGATACCGAAGATCATTAACAATGAACCCACGGCCCAGACAGAAAGGCTCACTGGATCCATTTTCAGTTGTCTTTGGTTCCTGTTGCCTTTTGTCTCCCCTACAAAGGCCTTGAAAAATGCATCTGGGTGGCTGCACACTCAATCGGAGCAAGACGGGTCAATGCTGGGCATATTACGAAGTGTATTAGCATTTGTTGCGATGCTCATTTGCAAGAGTGGGGAACAGAATGTACAATTATGAGCATGATTTTAAAGCCATGATTGATTAACTTGCCAATATCAAAATCAGAAACTAGGCACAAAGCAGCGAAATAACTGAGGTTTTAGGTTAAGACACAATCGAAAGTGAGAGGAGTCTTAGAAGGTTTCAGAACAGCTTGTTCTGTGGCACAGAGAGAGGATGAACTAGTCTGCAGCTTCCACCAATATTCAGCCTGTCCCTCGGGTGAGTAGCAACTGTGCTTTTTTTATGAGGAAGGGAGAAAAACTCAAAGTTGCTTGAAATTAAGAGATCAATTCTTGCTGCTTAAATAGAAATTATAAATATACAACCCATTTGCCTCAGTTCTTCAAAACTGCTTACTTGTTGATTTTTTTTAAAGATAGCACATTCTATCAGCTATTTAGTGTATCACTCCTTTTGCCCAAGTCTGTTCTCCATATAATTCATGAGGGGTGGCAAGGGAAAGACCAACAGCTTGTAGAAACCCGGCTGACAGGTCCATTGTAGAAATGCGATCTAAATTGGGGAGACCCCAGCTCACAGGCTGGACTCTCCCTACGTAGCAACACTGAAGTATTATGTGCTTTACCCATTTCGATCAGTGTGGTCTGATGGAAGAAACTGGAGTACAGATACACATAAACATCTTAAAGTTTACCATAATGTCACAGGTATGCACCAGGTAGAGGCTATCCGCTTCTTCAAAAACTCCCCAGAATTTATTCTTTCTCAGCATGCGATGGCCTGCCTTCCTCTTAAGTCAAAGGGATGTTTTCATTCTATTGCTACTCTGACCACAACCACTTAAGACCAATCTGTTACCAATGCAAGATATAAAAACTGAATTTATAGGACACTAAGTGGGGATTTTTCTTAGAGGAGTTAGGACCTGCTCCAAGGGGCTCACAAATAAGGAATGAAGAACTACCATGAGACTTGTTATGTAATGTTTGGCGAACAAGCGGAGAACAAAACTGTCTTCCTCTGCATGTTTTCCTCAAGTGTAGGAAATGGAGCAGTTCATTCTAACCGTGGGAGAGGAGTTAGGACCTGCTCCAAGGGGCTCGCAAATAAGGAATGAAGAACCACCATGAGACTTGTTATGTAGTGTTTGGCGAACAAGCGGAGGACAAAACTGTCTTCCTCTGCCCAAATCCCATTTGCACCAGTATTGTGGGGTGAATTTCTTTTGCTATAGCCCGAGAACACAAACCAAGAATGTGGAACCTTTCTTCTGTGGTCATTCTTCAGGAGGCGCCCTCTAAAGAGCCTAAAGAGCAACAAGACTACCACTCCCAGGATGCTTTGGGGCAGTTTCTTCCCCAGAAATATGGCAGCTGGACATGGAGTCTTAGAAGGTCACCTCAGCCTTATCTAGGGGATTGGAATGAAAGCCTCTGCAGATACAGTCGTGCCTCGCTAGACAGTTACCCCGCATGACAGTTTTCTCGCTAGACATGGACTTTTTGCGATCGCTATAGCGACTCGCAAAACAGTAATTCCTATGGGGGAATTTCGCTGGACAATGTTTGGCCCCTGCTGTGCAAACCGATTTTCACTAGACAATTTTGACAGCTCCCTCCACGCTCGCAAAACGAGTGTTTTCGGGACCTAAGCTTCGCAAGACAGCGATTTAAACAGCTGATCGGCGGTTTGCAAAGCGGCTTTCCTATGGCCGATCTTCGCTAGACAATGACGATTCTTCCCCATTGGAACGCATTAAACAGGTTTCAATGCATTCCAATGGGGAAATGCTTTTCGCTAGACGATAATTTCGCTAAACAGCTATTTCAGTGGAACGGATTGTCATCATCTAGCGAGGCACCACTGTATGTGTGTGTGGGCTGGAACTTCCAGAATTCTGGCTGGGGAATTCAGAGAACTCTGCAATATGGAGACCAAACAACCCTAAGGAGACACCTCTATTAAATACACCTAGCAATAGGGATCGGCAGATGCTCTTTGTTCTGGTGGACTCTATACAGCCCACATGCTGCCCGCCTCATTGCAGATTAGCTTTTGGAGGTTGGTAATGAAGGATATGGCTGCCCAGGTCATGGGCTATCCACCTCCAAAAGCTAATCAGCCGGGAACGAGCTGGCCCTTACTGCCTGACCGGAAAAATCACTGAGGTCAAGTAAGCCAACAACCAAATATCAGTTTCTTGGGTAGGATCACTTATTGGGTGTAATCATCTGTAACTCCACAAGAAAATTATCCCCTCTGAGATGAAACATATGGACTCCTTTTAATCAGGTTTCACACACTAAGCAATTTGAGCAGGATTTCATCCTGGCAAGTTGTAATGCAGAAAAGGATATCTAAATGGGACATTTACTGTCTTTCCGTTTACTGGAGACTAAACCACACCAAAGCAAAACATGGCACAACAATGTATTTTTGAAAGCAAGCTCCCCTGCCACCACAAAGGAGCACACCCAGTGACCAAATTCAAGGAGTTCTTCAGACCATTCTTCCCTTGAAACTGTTGCACCGGAAGGGTCAACCACACTCACCTCTGTATCTGGCCGAAGGGACCGCAAATAACTCTTCAGATCTCCCCGGGTCATGAGTTCCATAATGACCAGAGTGGGCTGTCCTTGAGATACAACGCCCAGGAGCCTCACCTGGCAAGAGAAAAATGAGATTATACAAGAACAAGGCACCGTCTTACATGCCACCTTGTGCTTATGAGAGTGAGATCATTACACATTACAGTCTAGACGTGCAGGGACCTGGGAGGTGAGGAGAAAGGCATCAGCACATCCTAACTACAGTACAGAGTCACTAGAAACCAAAGCCCACTGGATTCAGTGATGCTCTCTCGCATGTTTCTGTACATAAGTGATGACCGTCACCATTCCTGTGCTGATGAAAGAGAAAGATGGCAAAACCCCGTATTCTTTGTCCAACGATTCTCAACCATGTGGGTGCATTCATGGGGATCCTGGAGTGCAGGAATGAGTGGTCTTTCTTAACTCTGGACTGCAGTAAAGTTTATTTTAAGAACTAAGAAAGCTATTGGCTATGTCACCAAGAAAAGCGATTCTTTGAGTGGGACCCTCAAAAGATGATCTGGAGTGAGACTCTCACCAAGAATCCGTGCGGATGGAGAGTGGTTTCAAAAACCACGTGTCCAGATCCAAAGCTCAGAAAAAGTGAATTCTTAGAATTCATCCATGATCCAAAGACTGTTAGAATTCTCAAGAAGATATTTAAAATATGACAGTTCACTCATTAAATGCCAGGGAGGTGCCATCAGGAATATTGATACTAAGACTTCTCTTCTGATTACTTCCTTTATTTCTGATTTCACAATCTTTGTTAACATGGATGCACTTCTATCTCTTTTAAAATATCCATTGATGATTTTGGTTTTTAAAAATCCTCATCTTCTCATATTCCAATATTCAGTATAGGGTGATGAGTGACACATATGTGCTGAGGATGACCAGAAACAAAAGAGTGAAAACTGGTTTCCTTTCCTACCTGAATACGAATTTCATATACTGTAGATACTCTAGCAACTTTGGCCAAGAAGCATGGAATTTCTCTAATTTTTGGTTGCTAATTTTTAGTTTGCCACTTTTTAAGAAACTTAAGTGTTGACTGAGGGAGACGATGTTGAACATTGAGTTTTCAGCGTTGTGTGGCATAGCAACTTACGACATGGTGGCAGTTGAACTCCTTCATCACTGAAGCTTCATTCAAAAACTCGATCCGTTCCCGCATGCTTGCGGATTCATTGACTGTCTTGATGGCCACTCGTGTTTCTGGCTCATCCTTAACCACACCTTTCGCAATCCCTTCATACACCATTCCAAAGGAGCCTTGCCCCAATTCCCGGCACATGGTGATCTTTTCCCGGGGCACTTCCCATTCATCTGGTACGTACACTGCAAAATCACAAAAAACAAAACCCACATGGTCTCACCAAGCAGCAGTAAGGGAGCATCGCAGCCCAAGTTGTAACAGGAAAAAGGGCACTTCCATTACAAAAATAGTATGAAGGTCTAAATTTCACATGCTAAGAATTAATCCAACAGTTCCCTGAAACAGTGAAGTATCAGAAATATTTTGATGCTTTCCTATTGTTTCAACAACACTGGAACAGGGACTGGGAACAGGGTCTGAAATGTATCATTTTAAAGATACGCAATACAATGAGCCTATGGCTGAAGTCCAACAGGAATCCAGATATGTGGCGAGGGGTACTGGGGAGGACATTGATTGGGTTGGACAAAGCAAGGCCATTCCAATGCCGTTAAGAGTACAACTCTCATCAGCCAAGCACTGCCAGTGGTGAGAAATACTACAAGTTGCAGTAGAACATCTACTAGAGGGCTGCACTTAAGTCTGTTCAAAGACATACACTAACTTGAAGCATTAAAGGGATGTTCTGGGGGAACAGGCATAACACCAGTCGTCTTAGGCTTTGGTCTAACATCTGAACGAATGTTTGGAATAATGTAATTGAAGGATAGTGAGCAAGTGGCCTTTGCAGTGCAGTTACAACCACAGCACACACCAATCATAGCCAGGAGAACCGAAGATAAAGGACAGCAATATTTCTCGTCTGACAACCTCTGGAGGGCCCACATGTTTCTCCTTATTGAGTCAAGAGCATCCTTTGTAGAGGACTGGGATGTGCTAGCCAGTATCTCAAATGGGTTTCTCCAACAAGGAATGACATAGCATAGATATAAAAGCTATGTCTGTTTCCCCACCTGCAATGTGTGGATGCAATACAGTGGTACCGTGCAAGATGATTACCTCGCAAAATGTTTTTTTCGCTAGACATTGACTTTTTGCGATCGCTATAGCGATTTGCAAAACGGTGTTTCCTATGAGGGATTTGGCTGGACGATGATTTGCTCCGTGCTTCACGGACCGTTTTTTCGCAAGACAATGATTTTTTACAGTTGATTGGTGGCTCTGTAAAATGGCTTCCCTATCTTTGCAAAACGGGTGTTTTTGGGACCGAAGCTTCACAAGACAGCGATTCTAACAGCTGATCGGCGCTTCGCAAAATGGCTTCCCTACAGGTGATTTTCGCTGGACGACTATTTTCCCCATTGGAACACATTAAACGGGTTTCAATGCATTCCAATGGGGAAACGCTTTTCGCTAGGCGATGTTTTCACAAGACAGTGATTTCAATGGAATGGATTAACATTATCTAGCGAGGCACCACTGTACTTCAGCCAGAACATAATTCACAGCCAGCCCAGATCACCACATTTGAAAGAGCAATTTCCAAAAACAGAATCACGGGACAAGGAAGGTCCTCCCCCATTTCTGATTTCAATACCAAAGTCAAGATTTCACATCCAAAACATACATTTGTTTTGTTTTCTTAGATGCTACACTTGAACTCTTGAGCCCCAAATGAACTCTGAACAGCTTTACAGCTGGAGGGTGCAACGCACAGAACACGAACCTAAAAAGCCCATACTTAGAATATGGGAAAGGGGGGGGGGGAAAGCACTTGCCACTTGCTGTCAACTGCAAGCCGACCTTGTTTGAATTATAGCAAGGAGAAATGAAACAGCGTCTTCACTTCTGATTTCCTGAAAAATCTGGGATAATACGAAACCCCGGAGCTGAAGCAAGAGGTCTGGCTGCTGCAGGTCAGCAACTCTTCAGTAATGCAGAGTTGAAGGACTGAACTCCGAGAAAGGAACAAGAGGGGTTCCAGCGGCTGCCTGGCACACTCCGCCACTCAAAATAATAAGCTGGAGACCTCGCCCTGGAGCCTTTTCTCTACCTGCTCAATGGCTGAAGGGGGGAACATCTGACTTTTACATCCATTTCCAAAAAGCTTTCTGTGATCCCACCTCAGGCTGTGCATGCATTACGTTCACCCTATTATCGAGACGCCACAAGCCTCCTGGGTGCGACTTACCATCTGAAGCGCTGAAATATTCAGGGTTCACAGAGGCATAAAGTACTCCATTTCCGAGCCTGTCGCTGTTCCTGTTAAAATAGAAAAAAAGGGAATTTCCACACTTCAAACACCCATCTCAGGAAGAAAAGAAAAAAAAGAATCACATTTCACTCTATTTTGGTCCTCTCACTTCAAGCTCGGTTCTGGGGCTTGCTTTCTGAACACATACGCCCTAGCAGAAACAAATGACAGGTTCGCAAAAGGGTGTCAGGAATCAGCTGTGTTACTTCCCACATATCCTTAAGCCAAGGGAAAGATCCTTTCAAGTGTCTATTCAGTGAATGAACGAGGGGGGGGGAGGAAATAGCCCAGGTTAGCTGCTATCACATGAACGATGAAGAACGTGCACTGAAAGGTGTTTGCCTTCTGTTCTTCACTCAAGTGACAGAAGGAAAAGAACCAGAAGCGACCAAGAAACCCCTATATCAGGACACAACTTGGGAAAGTTACGTTTTTGACTACAATTCCCAGATTCCTCACCAGACAGCATAGTCTGGGAGTTTTTAGTTTTAAAAAGGTAGCAGTTCCAAGCTTCGTATCCAGAGGCAATAAACAGAGGAGGGGGAATTGACTAGTTCCTGATAGGATTTCCAGCTAAAATGTTTACATTTTTGCCACTGACACTTATTCCCCCCAAATTCCCATTCAGGTATGAGATCTGCAACAGGTCTGGATCGTTTGTCTTACGGATCCCGTATGTCCCAAGGGTCTGTCTATTCTAGTAATAAAAACAGTAAGGTAAACATGCAAAGCCAGTGGGCCAGATTATAGCTAGGCTGAATTCAGTTCTGCCGCAAGGCAGGATCTCACCTCTTCTTGTTACAGACATACAGCATAATGAGAAGTCCTCCAATAACCAGCAGGACCGCAATGGGGAGAACAATGATCAAATGCAGGAAATTCCCATAGTCCACTGCTGTAGCAATCAAAACAAGCAAAGGAACACAAAGTGATTATTCATGCCATCATAGCATCCATACTGGCCAGAAAGACTTCTCTCCAAAACAAACGGCTGCGGTGGATTGGGCCCACATCACACAGGGTTCTTCTCTTTCCTTTCTCTCCTGCGGATGACTAACCAGATGCTTCCAAAAGAGCTCACAAGCAGATCAGGACTGCCACGGCTACAGCCTGATCTGTGTTCTCCAGCATCAGAGCATCAAAAATATACATTCTGCGGAAGCTCTATTGCAAAATCCCTCTGCCAAATATTGAAGGAAAGCCAGTATGGTACAGCAGATAGAGTGTTCAACTAGGACTCCGGAGACGTGGGTTCAAATCCCTGCGTCGCTATGGAAGCTGAACAGAAGGTAACCAAAGTAAAACCCCTCCTTGAACATCTTCCATGCCTCAAAAACCCTATTTAAAACCCGCTGTATGTTGTGTCTTCTTATAATCTTGCTGAAGTGTGACCGTAATAAAGAATGATGATGACGAAAAGCCCTATTAAGGTTGTCGTAACTCAGAAGCCACTTGGCAGCACAAAACAAAAAATATCTAATAAGCCTTGACTGCACAGAATGCCATTTTAAAAAAAACACTGAACTGAGATGGGGTGGACAACTTGCCAGGGTCAAGGGCCAACATTTTGCCCATGGAAATTTCACAAACTGTCAAATGTCCACTTTCAGTTTTCAAAAAAACCCGCTATCCTGGGGTGTTAAATAGTAAGAGAACCCTGTGATCTTTTTTGAAAAATCGGAAGCACCTCTCCTGAAGCTTCCAGGAGCTGCAATTCTGTCAGAAAAAAGAGGGTGCATGCAGAGGGTTACGACAGGAAAGATGACTTGGTGGGGGAATTGTGCCCAATAACCCACCCATGATCTAAAGCCAAGCAACACACCCTTTCGCTGCACCCACCTCTCTCCAACCACCCATGTAGGAAATCCTTACGTTTAGGCTGGACGTAAAAGGAGACCGGCTCAGTCCAGGATCCGTTCCCAGCCAGAGAAGTGGCTTGAACTCTCACAGTATAGTTTCCAGGGTTCAGATGTGTCAGTTTGGCTCCTCCAAGCTTCTTGTACTCCTGCCTGGAAACACATTCTCGCTTCTCCTTTAAAAAAAAAAGTGGGGGTATTTGTGTGAAATGGGTAGATCAGCCCTTGCTCTACCGAAGTTTGCAAGGAGGGCTCTTACAAACAAACCTTTGCCAGGCACCACGACAGAGTTTTAAACCTCTGATTAGAAACGTGTCCCTCCCTCCCAATGCATGCTTCTGGAAACTTTGCAAAACATGTTTTGAAAAATAAAATCAAACATCCCCCTGCAATGCATACAAAGCTCACATAAAAGTAAATTCAGAACATCATCCACTCCGTGATCCAGTCTGGACTCTCTTTAAAGGCCAGATCCCTTACACCCGCTGGCATAAATCTGAGCAGCAATTGCTACCTATCGAGTCAGTCAATGATGGGACATTATGGAGGTCCCTCACCTACAGAGCTGCCATAGGTCGGAGGTGACTTGATGACACATAGCAACGCTAAAAGAAGTCAGCGGCTGTATTTCATGTTGCACAGCAGCCACATGCAACAAGAAATGCAAATGCCAACTTCTTAATGAGCAGCAATTCACTGCTCAAATTTATACCGATGGCCCTAAAGTAGGATTAATTATGCATCTATATGGTAAGCTGTAGCAGTAGATTCCTTCGTTACTGGAGGACTAAAGGATCCTTGAATCCCTTCCAAATCTAGGATTCTAAGATACACATAATCCATGATATATATAAAATGGGCATATGAAAGATGGTGGTCTCTTAACTGTTCTTAAGATTTGCAGAAACTTTACCAAAGCTGACCACAGTTCCTTCTGCCTTAGTATCACCTGTACCCGTCTTTCCCACACATCACTTCTTCCATGGCTTTGTACCATGACTCCCATCATCCTTTATCTTTAACTGTGTCTGATGGGAACTGGAGGTCCAATATCTGGAAGAGTACACACCTCCTGGAAGCTGATCAGCAAAGACGGTGGCTCTCCTACTCAGTTTGAAATACCAAACATTGAACCCGAAAGGTATTGTGTATAAAACATGACCTCGACCACTGAATTAACAGTCCTTCCTCTAATTGCTGGTGCAGCAGAATTGCAGCGATGGGCACAAACCCCCTTGAATTAATGGCAAACCAAGTTCAATGCAAAGGCTCTTAGCCTTCCTTACCTCTCCATTTTGTCCATACTTGATTTCATACATCAAAATCAATCCATTGGGATTAACCGGTTCTGGCCATTTCAGGTAGATGGTGTTCTCCTCCTTCCCCTCCCATGTTACTGCTCCTGGAATGTTATCACCTCCCTCTGCGGAAGTATGTCCAAGAGCCGGTGTCATTCAAGGCAAACAGGTGAATTTTGTTCAATTCCCATTCCCTCCCATCCTCAAAATAAAAGCCGGGTCAAAGCCACACATTCACATGCATACAAAACCCAAGGCATGGCCTTCATGTTGTAGAACACAGTTCCCAGTCAAACCTGTGAGTTTGGTATGCACAGATTTTATCTAAAGTTGATAACACACTAAAGTTTATGTTCGCCCATGCCTCTCCCTCTCCCACTGAAGGAACAAAGGGGGTTGCATCTCGGGTAGACTAGATTTTTGGCTTCAATTTAACTCCGAAGTGCAGCACACAGTCAAGGATTATTCCTCTGTTCCAGTGCCAAGCTGAGGAAGAAGGTAAGTTCGTATTGTATTGCACTCTGGAAGAAGTTTTGTGCAAATTTTGTCCTTGTTCATCTTTAGGCTCTAAGCTGAAAAGTGGTAAGAGGGTGAAGCTTTCCTCCACTAGTTTTAAGAGAATTTGCACCCCTTTTTTGTACAACTGCCCTTATGAGCAAACCCTTAAAACAATGATGAACTGTTGCTGGCGTAAGTGAAGCATTAAATGGGTTGCATGTGTCTTTGTGGGCAATCAGTCTACCCCACTGTGGCTGTCCATTTTCAGAAGATGAAAAGATGCTATGCGACGTTTTGCCCAAAACTGTGCAAACCACAATAAGGAAAAATGTGATTTAGTGTGTAAATAATCATGAATTCCCATCCTTAATGAAAAAGAGTATTCTACTTCTACTCTGCAAAGGAAGCACTGCATTTTGTGTTCAAATGCATTTTGCACAAAATACAAGGTTTTGCAGGAAAAAAAAACACCTTTGCAAAAAGGGCAAAGGATTGAAAAATGCACAAAACCTCTTGAAATCTCACCCAGTCGGGTGACCAAAATGCGACCATGAAACAAGCAAAGTTTTGCACTCATAGCTTGGTGTCTCATTTGCTGAAGGTAAGGATTTTGACAGTGGTTAAGAGAACCCCTGCCATAGCCATAAATCCAGCTTTCATGATTTGAAAGGCTAATTCTGAATTTCTGATGATGACAACACTTTATCCAATTTTACAGCTCGATGGTCTAGGTATGTGGCTTCAGAGATTGGGAGTTTGATTCCCCACTGAGTATCCTTAACGGGGGCTGGATTCGATGATCCATAGGGTCCCTTCCAGCTCTGCATTACTAAGATTTTTATTATTCTAAGATTATTCAAAGCCTACTTTGAAAGAAGAGATTGGATAAAATAAAATGAGGATGATTTCTTAATCTCTTTTTTAAAATACTCTTTCCATCTGGAAAAAGGTGGGGAAATTGAAGAAATGCCCTGAGTTCGTACCTGCAGGCATAGTTCTTGCAAAGACAAAATTGGAAGCACTACAGCCCAACGACGCAGCTTCGTGATTACAGCTGTGGATGTCGATACGGTACAGGGTGAAAGGCAAGAGATGGGAGATGAGCGTCCGCTCCCGGCCTTCGACTTTGCTTTCGTAGAAGGGGAACTCCGTCTCTCCTTCCTCCGTGTCCGAAGCATTGGCAGAATGTTCTGGGACTGTGACCGTCTTGTTCTTATTGGCAAATGTCGTATTGGTAACTTGGGTCAAGTCTCGCCGCTTCCGGTCAGGCCTGGACAGAGGGGGTAAAAAAATAATAATAATTCAAGCTCGTGACCTGAGATCGGCCTTGTTTGAAAAGGGCGAAAACGAAATCCCAGTCCAAGACACTCAAGAAGACGGCCAACATCTTCAATGTATTCAAAGAAAACAGTAATGAAGAGATATTAACACACTGTAGACGGACGGCTGCCCAAACTCTGCATGCAGCCGCGTATCAAAATAGCCCTGTTTTATAGGTGGTCTTCCCCCTGAGTCAAATTACACACCAGCAACACATCCAAACCCAATAAAGATGTGTCTCAGGAAAAAGAAACAGAAAGGAGAGCGCTGGGTTAAGCAACCATGCACGCAGGAGTAGCTACACGAAAGCGTAACTGGTTCAAAATGCAAGGGAATTAAATTCCGGGACAGGACAGACAAAAAAGAGGAAAGTCATTCTACTTGGACTAGGGGTGTCAATCTCACAGGGATTGGCACTTAGAGAGGAATGGGGGGGGGGAACCCTCTCTAATCCTTGCAGCAAGATTTCTCTGTGTGAGTTCTTTTTTTCTCTCCTTTCCCTGAGAAATCTTGCAGAAAAATCTTTCTAGATTCCTAAGATGTTTCTTATCGTTTTCCCCAGAAACAGCAGAAGCAGCAACCAGTGTCGAATTATCCTGTGCCACACACACAGCATCTTCCCTGCGAAGGGAGATTCCATGGAAAGGATGTTGGACCTGCTCAGAATCTGGCAGTTCTCTTGTAGCAAACCAACAGAAAAATGAAGAACTAAAGCAAACAACCAAACAAAAAGAGAAGACCGAGGCCGGGGGGGCCGGTGGTCTTCTTTCTGCGGGAAGCCTAGAAATCTCTCTGGTATGGGACGAAGTCAAAGCAAGAACACCTGACACAATGAGACTCAGAGAACTGTCAATTGTGAGAACATTTTCAAGTACTCTCCACATCCTTAGCTTGAAAGCTTGCAACAGAGTTCTGATTAGATTCGAGCAAAGCCTTAGGGTCACAACAACCCATTTTACCCAGCGGGAACGAGTCTACCTAAGGCTGTGATGTGCTTAAATGCTTACACACGGATAGAGGCAAACATTTCTACTGCAGAGTCTCGGCTGCCTTTACAACAGGCAGGCAGAATCTCACAGAAGGCTGGAAACACAATACACCATCTAATGAGGGTTGTGTTGACACATGAATTGTTCTCTCCCTTTGGGGTGGAAAAAGCAGCGAAGGAAATAGATGAAGACGACTAGGAAGAGACAGACAGACGTGAGTAAATAAGTTGTTTTAAATGTGCCCTAGAGAGGAAAATCACCCAAGTCATAATCTCATTTTTCCCTGACACTTTGGGGTTCTTTAAGAGTCACTTTAGCTGCTAAAAGAGTTAGAAGCCATGCGTCTCAACTACTACAGCTGTTACAGCACTGAGAGGAAAAATGCAGCAATTATGAACACAAGCTGAGCAGGGAAGAGGAAATAAGCTGAAGTCGTCAAGACTCACATTAGCAAATCATTCCCACTTATGTTCTTCACACCCAGACCCACACAAATGGCATCTAAAGACTGTCAAAGTCTTATTGCTTGGATAGCTCAGTGGTTTAGGTCTCTGGCTATAGAGCCAGAGGTTGGGGAGTTCAATTCCCTCACGGCGCCTCCTTGAGAGGGGCTGGACTTGATGATCCATAAGATCCCTTCTGGCTCTGCAGTTTAAAGGTTATGATTCTTCTTCCTTGGGTCAAAATTCTGAGTTCATTTACTCTCATATTCCAATCTATATGGAAAGGGAAAACCTTCACTCGAAATCAATGGGGCTGCAAAATGAATGATCTGTGGAAATCAGAAATCTATATTGCACTGAACAAAGCTCTTCAGGGGAGGCAGAAATCCTGCATCATGGTGAAATGGCCCCAGACGCCAAGAAAGGGGGAAGGTTTCTGTCATCAGCTGGGCCACTTGGGAGCAATGACAGTCTAAGAAGAGGGGCAGAATGATGGGAACGCCACAGGAGAGAGAGAAAAAATTGCAGCAAATGCAAAGTGAGGGGGGGACAAATAGAGCTCCTCATAAGTAAGAGAATGCATTTACAAACAATCCATGTGTTCGGCAATACTGCTGAGTTCCGGACCATTTTCTTGCTGCTTTCAACAACATGGTTTTGAGGTTTCTTCAGGTTTGTTACCCAACTCCAGACATCTAAGCTTAAATATTTTCTGTAGCGCTGTTGATGCGAACACCACTTTGCAAACATTCCCCAGAGCTAGCAAATTACTTTGCTGAGTCACTTCGGCATCTGTTAAGCCCTTCTGAGGGAGACAAGGTGTGAATCTACTGGCGGCCCATCTGTGGAATTCCTGCAAGAGGAACGGTTTACTCTCCACTCTACAAACGGGCAGCATCTCACAAGATCTTAGGAAATGCTTTGGCTAAGGAACAAAGGCCAAGTTGGGATGTTCAGTGCAGGAAGAAGCATCATTGCAAATAAACGTGTGCATGTATGCATGCATGCATGCATAACATCCCTAATTCTTGGGAGCAGGAAGTTTTGCATAAATTTCATTCAGACAATACCTTGCTAATTCCAAAAGCGGGATGGTTTGCCTAGTGTGATGTAGTAAACAGACCTTATTATAGGGTCATTGTAAGTCAGCAGCAACTTGACAGTACATCGCTACAAAGCCTTTTTTGAAATCGCTCAGGGATTCCTTTAAAAGCCCTAAATATCTTCAGAAGAAGCTGGTAGCTCAACAAGTCGGAGCACCTGGCTGCAGAACTAAGAATCAGAAGTTTAATTCCACAATGGGACTCTCAAGAGAACAGTCTGCCTGTGCCATGTGGGCCCCAGAAGAAGGGGCTGACAACCCATTTCTCAGCATTTTACACCTAAAACACCTGGAAAGGGTCACCTTAAGGGAGAACCGACTTCCTGTCACATAGTACTGTAATAGTAAGAATAAAACTGTAAAGGAACATCTTATCTCCAACCAAGTTCTGCTAATACCCTTGTAAGATTGGAGGCAACTACAGATGAAGCCTTTAGAGCTACGACATTCATATGGACTACCCACTCCAGCCAGCTCACTGACAACTGCACTCCCTTTAACGCTTTTAAAAGTCGTTTCTTGTGCTTCTTAACTGCTGCCTTTTCATGGATTTTGCACACTAATAAAAAAAAAATTAGCAAGCAGCAAATAAAAAAGCAAAAGAAACAGGATTTGAAATGTCTGAGCAGACAATAATGATTTAGATTCCGAAGCCCCACAGAGAGTGTGGTTGTCAGGACAGAAATGTAACAGATGAATAAAAGCAATTGTTAATTGTCATGAAATCAAGGGCAGCCTGTGAATATGGATATGAAGACCACAACCTAGACCCAACCCATTGATTGCAAAAAGGGAGATCGAGTATTCACCTGGGCAAGAAGATTGCGTTGTGGAGGAAATTCTCAAACACTTTGCGATACTCCGCTTCCTCTTTCTCAGCCTGCTTCTCGGCCTCTGTCTTTGGGCACACGCAGCAATGCCCCTTCTCTCCCCCACCACCTTCCGGCTTGGTGGGTTCAGTCGCTTCCTCGGTATCGATGGTCCCGTCTGCGTATCGCCGAATCGGGACTTTATCTTTAAAAGAAAAGAGAGAAGTGCAATACAAACAACCCACAACTATACAAGATGAATGGACTCAGAAAACGCCCTACGACACTCACAAGGAAAGAGGTTCGGAATGTGATCAATGCAAAGGGTCGCCATTTCTCTGCATCAGGAGCTGGCACAAATCATAAGGGGAAGGGGCTTAAGTCGAAAGAGTTGATTCATGCCATATAATTAAAGCAGTGTGACACTGCTTTATATCTTCTCGCCTGTATCTTGCCAAATCCTGGGTTTGTTATCTGTTACGGTGCTGATTCTCTGCTAGAGAACCCCTCCGCACTCTTTCTGAACCATAGCAGAGTCCAGGAAATCTCAAAAAGTTATAAATCTCAGCATTCCTTAGAATGGAGCAGTTATCCAACTGCTCGAAGCAGTTTGGAAGCTACACAGTGTAGCCCTTCTGGCTTTTACAGCCAGGTCTGTAAAAAGATGCCTCATTTGGCATCACAACACTGTTTTTTTCTGGCCCAGTGATGTGTACTCCAAACGGGAGCAACTCCCTAGGATTTCCAGTGGAGGGTCCTTCCCAGACCCACCTGGAGATAGCAGGTGTGGGACAGGGGATTTATTTCATTCACAGCATGTTCTCTACTACATGAGCTTCATTCTTGTGTTGTTAACATTCCGGGTTGCCATGCCAAGTCTCTTGGCTTTAAAGGGCTGGGCATCATTCTTGTGTTGTTAACATTCCGGGTTGCCATGCTCAGTACGGGATTATCCCAAGTCTCTTGGCTTTAAAAGGGTTAGGCATCAATTTAGTTAGGATAAGGATGAGAAAGAAGAAGAACAGGATTCGTGATTTACTCAGAAGAGCTCAAATGTGGCTTCACCCATCACAAGTCAACCGCAAAGTCCTTGAGCCTTCAACAACGCCCACTTTAGCCCTCCACTGCATGCTTCTGTGCCGCTCTCACCTTTAGAGCAGTAATTGTGCCTGTAAAGGTAGCTGTCCTGAGGCTGCTGCTGCCACCGTACGATGTAGTACGACAGGTTACCGTTGGGGTAGGTGGGAGGGTTCCATTTCACGATGAGCTGAGAGGAAGAGTTGGATGCGGAGATGACGTCCAGAGGAATGGATGGCACTGGAGAGAGAGAGAGAGAGGAAAGAGAGATAAATAAGTAAAGAGATACAAATGCCTGCCCTTCCACCAGTCCCACAACAGGCTGAAGGGCAGAAATAAATGATGATTAAGTTCAATACTTTGAATGGCATTCGTTCTTGATGAGCAAAGAGCACTAGACAGATCGGAACTAAGAACCCACAGCCCTTGCACTTAATTCTTTCTGGCTTTGATCAGCACCAGCAAGTCGGTCTGGCGCACTCAACTGATGGGGAGTTGTGAGGGAACATCCAAAGTAGCAAAGGTCCCTCTTCTCTTCCCCCCGCTCCGCCAGAAAACAACACACAATTGTGTGCCTGGAAAGAAGTCCTCCCGTAATAGCACACCTGCATGGAAGGCTGATGACAGCAAAGTGTACTTCCAGGAACGAACCTCTCCTCAAAAACCTATCAGGCATTTCACTGTGAAACGTCCCATGAAGGTAGAGGAGCTACTGTGGATCTCCGTTACGTCCACCATGGCCATGTTTCCTGAAGCTTGGGCCCAAAGAATAGCTTTTGTGTGTCTGTCAGTCTGTCAACTGCAACTGTACTCTTTTTTCTTGGGGAAAAAGGAGCAAGAGGGAGCAATGGATGGTGGAGCAGAGCCTCCGTCTATATCCCTATACAATGGTGCCTCACATGACGACATTAATTCGTTCCGCGAAAATCGCTGTCGAACGAAAACATCGTCATGCGATATTAAAAAACCCATAGAAATGCATTAAAACCCAATTAATGCGTTCCTATGGGCTTAAAACTCACCGTCCAGCGAAGATCCTCCATAGCGTGGCCATTTTCGCTGCCCGTGCAGCGAGAAATCCATCCCAGAAAACAGCAGGCGACCATGTTTTTTACCCGGCGGCCATTTTGAAACCACTAATCAGCTGTGTAAAAATCATCACTTTGCGATGATCGGTTCCCGAAACAGGGGACTGATCACTGCAAAGCGAAATTCCCCCATAGGGAACATCGTTTTGCGATCGCTTTTGCGATCGCAAAAACATCGTAGTGAAACGGAGCGCCCGTCTTGCGGGGCACCACTATATAAAGAAAGCATGAGATTTGGGGTGGGAGGCCTGAACATAACCCCAACTTCCTCTGCATTCCACAATTCCCTGGCAAATCATGGGATGTCCCAAAATGTCCTTGTGGGAGGAAAGTCTCAGAACCAGAACCATTTTATCATGGCACGATTACTCCAATAAACTGCCTAGTACCCAAAGCTAAAGAATTAATTGGTCTCAATACCAGGACGGCAAATGACCGAAAACCACCTGTATCCCTATGCAGCCTTCCCAGAAAGAATGTCATTAGAGATGATTCACTTAATGAATAAACACCTCTTTCCATATTAATTGTGGTCAAGGACATGCACGTACTAAGCTGAAGAAGCAGAACACTGGGCTAGCTGCAACCCCCTCCTGCACCTTGGTCTTGTGAATCTGCACAGTGATTCCTGCTAGCCAAAGATGTTTGGGAGAGAATCCATGCCAAGCCCCCAAGTATCTCATGCAATTCTGAAATTTTAACAGAAATGTGACTTTTTATTTCACCCCCAAAGGATAGGCTTGCCGACAAGACACCGTTCCGTCTGCAATGCATTGGGGATCAATCCACCCTCCCTTATTCAATGTGGATGGAAGAACATCCATAACCCCATCATCAAATCAGATACCATTTCCCCGCTCAATTAGAGAGACTTCGTTCAAGGTGATTAAATGCTGCTGGGTATTTCTCGGCATTTGATTAACCAGACAATTATCACCTCTCCACCCGGACCAGTATCGGAGACAATTAAATTCGGGGAAGCTCAAGTAGAGTGGAGGCATACAGTTAAAGCCATCGGCAGCCGAAGGGAGCTTCTTGACATGCTAACTAGCACAGTGGATCCAAAGCATAAAACATGACACAGACAGAGGCAAGTAACAACAGCTGGATGACCCTCACAAAACCTTTTCCATTAGAGAACTACCTGCGCGATACAGCTGGGATGTCTCATCTCTCTATTTCTGCACCAGCGCTTCCCCAAGTCATTGTAGACAGCATCTTAGCCCAGCCCTCCTAGTCCAGACCCTCCCATAACCAAGACACAAACGACCAAGCACCACTCTGTCCGGTTTATTTGTATTCTCTTTACCTCCGGCGTTAGTTCGGATGTAGACAATCTCACTCTTTGCTCCATGGTGGTAGTTCTCCATCATGGTGAGCATGACAGCCTTGACATAAATGGCATACTGGGTCCAGGGCTTCAGCACTTGCAGCAAAATTCCTGGATTGTCCTCTTTATTGGGAGGCAGGTCCACATCAACCATGTTCCAGCTGTTGGAACCACACGCGTCCTGCCCGTCATATTCCGTCACATTCTTGAAAGGTCTGTGATGAGGAAATGAAGAGGCTGTGACTTTTACTTCTATCCAAACTCGCTCTTAAAATTTTTAAGGAAAAACTCTCCTACTGCCTTTTGCCCAATGAAACTCATAATAATAAAACTTTGATTTTTATAGACGAATAAAAGGTAGAGAATACTCAAGAGTTTTTGCTTCTCCTGTTTTAAAAGACAGAGACAGAAGAGAAGAGGTTCATAAGGCTAAGCCATATCAGTCACAGAAATGAAAAGCAAACTCCAAAAGAAGTCAATTCATGTTAGTTGCTCCATCCTGTAAAATGAAGACATTTATTCTCTCTCTCTCTCTCTCTCTCTTTAAAATATCCAAAGTAGCCCCCTTCCATGCTCTGTCTGCAAGCAATATTCCAGCAGGCTGCAGTCAAGGAATTACTTGTGAGTTCAAACCACTGCATGAAATTCATAGAGCTTGGGAACAATTAGTTACAAATAACAAGTTAACTGTAATAGACCCCCTTGAAAATGGACCTCAACAGATGGAAAACCCTGACATCAGAGCGTTCAGCCTGGAGGAAAGAGGTGGATCACGGCCTCTCCCAATTTGAAGAGACCCTTGTCCAGCAGGCCGAGGCCAAGAGGCCGTTGCAAAAGCAGCAAAATCAGGGACCTGGACAGAGGACAAATTTTATTTGTCTTCAGTGTGGAAGGGATGGTCACTCTCAAATTGACCTTCTCAGCCACACTAGTTGCTGTTCTGAGTCCTCCATACCGAGCACAATACCATAGTCTCTCGAGACTGAAGATGCCTAATTTAATCTAAAGTGTAAGGACATTTACATTCTAACTGCAAGGTGAAGAGAAATAACTTTGCTCCTTTTGTGACACAACTATAAATGTTTAAATAATTTTTATAGCTAACCCTGGCGTAGCCACACTTCAGCTGGTGGAACTGGAATGCTGTACCGTTCAAGTGCTGGCTCATGCTTGCTGAACAAAACACGTTAAAATGGGCAGCTTTCTCAAGTCATAAACATAACTGTTCTGGTTCCTTTTGAGAAATGGGAACGCAAAGAGCTATGCCAACCAACTGAAACTAAAACAGTAACCAACAACTTTCTGAAAAGGCTTGGAACTGTAACCGTCATTAATCACATCACAAAAAGTAACTTTCTAGGTCTTGAGAATTTAGTTCCCATCTTGTGCACCGCTTCTTGCATCTGTGGCTCCCTTAAGGATTTTCCCCCCTTACCACTGTGCAGAATTGACAGCATCAAATTGTTGGAATCTGTTACAATTTACAACTATCAGAATTCTTGTCTCTGCACCCGAAGATCTACCAGTTCTTCATCTTTGGTTTGCAGTCCCCACTTCTCATTAGTTCCTTTCCGTCCAAAGGACACTAGTTGTAAAATGATCTGCATCCACCTTTTCCCAAACTTCTTTCCTCTCTTGGCTCCATCAACCGACTGCCCTCTCACGTACACATGGGGCTTTGCCACAGTTCCTTTAGTTATCCCTGGACCTGCTCCTAGCACTACGTTTCTTGCCATTTCAACCCAAACTGACAGAAGACAGAAAACTATGCAACAAGCTTTCACAACCCCTTAATTTAGGGACGTGGTGGCGCTGCGGGCTAAACCGCAGAAGCCTCTGGGCTGCAAGGTCAGAAGACCAGCTGTCGTAAGATCGAATCCACGTGATGGAGTGAGCGCCCGTCGCTTGTCCCAGCTCCTGCCAACCTAGCAGTTCAAAAGCATGTAGAAATGTGAGTAGATAAATAGGTACCACCTTGGTGAGAAGGTAGCAGCGTTCCGGGTCTAAGTCGCGCTGGCCACGTGACCACGGAAACTGTCTGCAGACAAATGCTGGCTCTACGGCTTGGAGACGGGGATGATCACCGCCCCCTAGAGTCGGACACAACTGGACTAAATGTCATGGGGAACGTTTACCTAACCCCTGGACATAGCCCTCCTCCTTGGTTTCAGCATCCATATGTTGTAAGTAGAAACATGAGCAATAATTTTATTTAATGTGTTCATAACAAAGGGGGGGGCAACGTCAGCATTTTAAAAACGTGATAGCAGACTTTTACTGTCAAAAAAAGAGCTGTCTGTTTTGTCAACAGACACACACATTAGAACATCAAGTTCATCTTCTCCTCTCCCTCCTCAAAACAGCTTCCTCTGTCAGGAAGCCATAGCTTACCTCAACATGAATAGCTCCTTTATGCACCTGACTTAAAAATACTAAGGAAGAAAACAATGGGAGTCCTTATTAATTGCACAATGACAACAACTAAATGCTATACAAAGATCTAGAAGTGTCTGTCAAAAAACGCAGGCCATATCTGGATGTGATGACAGAACATTAAAGAGATAAACCCAGCCCATCTTTAGATCTCTTTTCTTCCTCGGCCACGAGATCGGTTTTAACCAACCACAATTTAGTATGGGTCTAAACCCTGATGACACGTAGTTACGTCTTTTCCTGTTTATTGAAACGTGCCAAGTATGGTTTCAATAATCCTTTGTTAAGGTCAAAGTTTAGGTCTCAGATATTAAGGTTAAATTGTCATTTATTGGAATTGGAGCAAAATCCACCAGTCTCCTCTTCCTCCTATCTCTGCTGAAGAAATAAAAAGGGAAGCACACAAAACTAAGCCCAATTTTACTGTTATGTCCAAACTCAGATGGGAAAAAAAAGCAACTGGGGCAGTAAGCCAAAATGGAGAGGTAACTGGGCTTTGACCACCAATTTTTGTGGAAAAGGTGGGATGGAAAGTGAATCACAGAACAATGGAGTTGGAAGGGGGCCTATAAGTCCACTGAGTCCAACGCTTGCTCAATGCAGGAACAGAAATCAAACACGGATGCCAAATTTCTCTTGAAAGCCTCCAGTGATGGAGCACACGCTACCTCTCAAAGTAACAGCTTCCATTGCCATACTGCTCTAAAAGTTAGGAAGGTCTTTTTTTTCTTCCGGATATTCAATACTGAGTCCAACGCTTGCTCAATGCAGGAATAGAAATCGAACACGGATGCCAAATTTCTCTTGAACGCCTCCAGTGATGGAGCACACACTACCTCTCAAAGTAACAGCTTCCATTACCATACTGCTCTAACACTTAGGAAGGTTTTTTTTCTTCCGGATATTCAACTGAAATCAATGAGCATTTCTGCTTTGGGTTCAACCACTTCTCTGCCATCCATTTTAACCTGGGCACACCATCCCAATTCAACAACCCCTTGCCCCCTTGATATCCAGCTGTGCATACTCACGCCTCTTTATAAAAAACAGTGAAGCTAATCAGATCTCGGTAGTCTTTAGGGCGATACTGTTCCCATGTCAGCAGGATCCGATTCTTCATTGTAGTGTTGGAAACAAATTTTAGAATGTAGCTTTCACCTGCAACACGGAAGAATAAATTAATTTAAAGAGCCACAAACACACAAGTGTAGGGGTAGGATCTGTTCAAGTCTTCTTCCCTTATAAGCCAGTTTATTGGCCCATTTTTGGAACCTGGCACAACTGGGGGACATATATCTATTCATTCAGGTCTGAGATAGATCATCCTGTTTTCAAATGGGGAAAAAAGGCTTCCAGTTAAACCAGTTAATGATGTGGGGTACGAGCTTTGCTTTCTCCTACAGAGGGTGGCTTCAGTTAAAGGCACATGAAGTTTTGGCAAATGAGGATTCCTGCAACACAACAGCATGTTTTCTCTCCCCACCCCCCTTCCACTCAAATGAACAAAAGCAGGCAATCTTCTAGAGTGGGCGGCATATAAATTAAATAAATAAACAAAATAAATAAATCCCTTTCATATAAAATACTACTCAGCCGAGTAGCTGATGAAACTGAAGAAGCCCCAAATTCCAGAAATTTTCCACAACTGTTTGTGCAAAAACAACAACAACAGCAGCAGCAGCATATTGTTGGTGCCAGGGGGGAGGTTTTTCAGCTGTTTGATTCCCCCCCCTTTTTTAATTATTTTGTTAAAAAGCTTTCACTTTCCTAGAAAACAACATAGCTTTCCCTCCTAGGATATAATGGTTGCATTTCCAATCCCTTTTAGTTTACTTAACAAGTCTCTGTTTTACAAGGCTGATGAGCAAATCAAAAAGGTGTTCCCAACTGAAAAAAAAAAAGCTTTCAAGCAATCAGCCTGGCATGGGTTTGGGCAGTGCTGGCACCATGAACAGTCCCATGCACCGGTACCTCCTCCAGAATTTGTAACCCTGTGGCTCATTCAATGACGTGCAGGCCTTGTTCTACACACAAGCCTCCTTGAGCCGCTGCGTTGGTGTGCAAGGCTCAAGGAGGCTTCCCCAGTTCTGTAACTAAGAGTTTGCCCAGAGAGCAAACCATTGGTTTGAATATGCCTCCTTGTCTGAGATAGATCATCCTGTTTTCAAATGAATATGCCTCGAGCTGCTAAAAACCGCTCGGCATCCTCAATGGGCCGAAGAGTAGAAAATCTGCTGCTCCACTGAAATGAATGGAGACTGCCCAATCTCTCTAGAGCACTGGAGTGACGTCAGAGGTGGTAGACACGAGTGCCTGCTCCCTTAATGCACTGTAAGCCACAGATTCACAACACACCATTAGATAAACTACTTCACTCAGCCTAAGCTTCCTCAATCTGTCTTAGAAATAATGCTTGCCTATCTTACACAGATACTGTGCAGAAAACTGAGCCAACGGTTTAGAAGTGATTGCTTTAAAAAGACTGGTATAAATGCATCCATTATTCTGCATTTTTGGAAATTCTGCACACAGCCTATTCAAGGAGAGCAAGCGTTTTAATCCCCACATCCTACTACTTTGACTCCCTGCCTTCATGATACTGTGTACGTACAAGAGGCTCTCTCTCCATTGTTCCTGGGATTTATATCGCCTTTGCTTTGTCGGTCTTTGGTTCCAGTGACCTCCTCCATGCGGTAAATCTCGGAAACACAGAGCCTTGGGTTAAAAGCAAAGTACATCTTTCCCTCTTTGATGGTCAGGTTATGATGGCTCCAGTCCCACAGCTGTTGCAGGTTTTGGTTGTCCAGGACATAAAATGAGTAATTCCTAAAAAGGAAATATGTTGAAGCACATCAGTCTGTGCCAATAAATGCACATATTTTCTGCTTTGTTGCCTGCCTCTTTGTAAAATAATCAAAAAATTCACATTATAACAAAGAGCTTACAGAGCTGGCTGGCAATCCTCAGAGAAAAGGGATGCAGAAAGGAGGAAGTTCACTCTTGGCTCTGGTGAGGAATCTCCTGCAACAGTCATTGCTGTTTGTGAAGACGGTCTTTTCCCACCGCCACCCATGTGCCTCTTGCTAAAAGCCCCAGCAACAGATAATGGGCCCAAGTGCAACTCCACAGGCGCAACATCCTGCAGCCCTTTTTAACGCAGACTCAGCAAGTTACTTTTGAAAACAAGCTTCAAATTTGAAACTACTGTTACTTGTGGCAATGCCGAGACATTTAAGTCATTCTTTTTTTTTTTTTTTTTGCTACTTTCTTTGGAACCGAACAAAGACAAATGTGAAAATAGCCTAAGACTTCACAAATTCCTGCCCAAATCCTTCTAAATGCATCTTAGCAGGCCTCCCGACAGTTACCTGTGAAAGGAACTAGATGTCACTCATTGCAACCATGAAGTAACTTTGTCCCTGTTCACTGAATTACTATGTAAATATAACAAGACTACACCTTTGCCACATGCCCCAAAGTAACTAGTTTATAGGTATCTTTGTTACTCATAACTTCTTATTTATAAACTCTGCTTTTAATGTCATGATGCAAAACTGGGACGCAAAAGCAAAATTTCCAGGGCAATGTACTGTTCCTAACTCAAGTCCCTTAATTCTCTTGTGTCATTCCCAACAGGCCAAGTCATCACTGTGACCTGAGTCTTACTCAGTAATGGGGCAGAGTTACATGAAACCCCCCACCCCTGCTTACACCTTTAAGTAGAAAGTTGTAAGCTGTGCAGCTGCGGGCCAGCACCCCCACATTAGGCCCCAGAATTTGCCGTAAGGAGAAAGAAAGGAACATCAGCGCCTTAGCGATGCCCTCAACACGAAGAGGGCCATGCACTTATTTGTAAAAGACAGTGGGATTTTTCCAAGTGTGGAAAGGGGAGCTGCCCTTCACAGCTTTTTCCATCACATTCCGGAATGTGAAGAATGTAAAGCTGACCAACGTGCAGCCTGAGAAAAAAAGGAGGTTTGCTCAGAAACCCTCATGCTGTAACCTAATCCGTTCAGTCCTGATAAATTGGACACACACATCGCTCCTTTCCCATGACCTTGCTACCACCTTGCTCAAATGTGTGTGGTGTGTGTGTGTGTGTTTCAGGTCTCCAAAATTCTTGTTTTTAACTGCTGTCACAGCTTGTCTCTGGAAAGAACTGCTACATTTCGGGTGCGGGAGAGAAAATGGGGGGGGGGGCAGAGAAGAAACAGGGATTTCCCAGATGAATGAATTCCACACCCAGCAACCTGAGTGGTCCAGAGCTGTTTTTTTCCTCCTTTACTAAGAACAAAGGTGCAAGTGATCCTGTGACTGAAGGTCAGTGCAGAGAATTTAATGTGCAGCATCTGGAGAAAGTGGAGCACATAGTCCCAAAATACAAGGTGTTTCAGAATCAGCCTGTCTTTTATATTCCACCCACTCGAAGGAGTGGGCGGGGCATCCCAGCCCCGCCTCCTCATCTGAGCGGACAGCCACTGGAGGAGGAGGCGGTGGCAGCGTCACGATTGGTGACGGGGCAATTGAGCTGAGGAGGCAGGGAAGGGAAGCGCTCTTCTCCTGGGGAATGGGTGGAGATGGGAGTACACAGTGCCTGCAGAACATCTGTGCGGGCACCGCACCGAACTGCGTTTCGTGCCCTTCTCTAATACCAATGATACTGGAAGATGACGCTACTATGGCGGATATGTTTTTCGTATCATGACACATCCTGGAGATGGATCCATAACACTCCTTTTAATTTTGCTAGGTACTCAGGAGTTTTTCTCCGTAGTTGTTGATACAGAGCCTTTTCGCACTCCACATATTAGACGCTTAATAGGAAAGTACAGTTTGAATTTATAAGCCTGAGGCATATGAAACCAAGCACTAGGAACAGGGGGTACCTCTGGGTGCTTGTATACTGAAACTCCCATCAGTCTTAGGTATGGTAAAGGATTAAGGGACTCGCTGTCCTACAACATCTGTAGGGCTTTGTTCCTGTTTTAAAGGCAAGCTTAAATGTTTCAAATATTCAAATATGAATACAACGGACAAATGAACCACATTAGGGCCATGCCAGGTACACTAGACTAGCTAGAACTGGCTATTGAGCAAGAATAAATGCTGCAGTGAACTGAACTTCCCTTACGTAATGCGTGAAAATGTCTCAATGTATCCCACACCATCAGGCAACTCTATGATAGCCACTGCCCATTCAGCTTTTTTGTCTCTATTGGGAGATCTGCACTCCATTCAGGATATGAGAATGGAGAGGACTCTAAGGATGACGCCAACCTTTTTTTAAAAAAAGGGTGTGTGCTACAGACCCTTTACATCTGTCCAGTTTCTCCATTTCATCAAAATATCAAGAATACTTACGAAAGTATTTTTCTCCCATGGCACTATATTCAAGGCAGACTATGGAAACATAGTATGATTCCACGGCATCTAAATACTTACCCTTCTAACTGCTCTTCTCCATTAATGTATCTCAGATTCTTCAAGAAAGACAGAGACACCAGCGCGTGTGAATGACGGATCTTGACGTAGCCAGTCACCGTTTCTATTAAGCCCATAAAGTTCTCCAATTCTGAGGCAATGTTGTCTGGGGGGAAAAAAATTAAAGCAACTGCTTGGTCAAAGCTTAGCTTTACATATAACTGGACTGACAAAAAGCCCGTCTGTTACAAAAGGATTCTGCCCCTCTTCAGAAACAGAACCTGCGGGATTTACCTATGAAAAGCAAAGTCGATGGAATACAAAACTAGACACCGCTATAATTTTACACTCTTCACTTTTCAGCAGCGATGATAGCCCTCTCTGCACATAAATGCCTGTTGCTAATGCCAGCCTCAAATTCTGAGCTTTCAACAGCCTAGGTTTTTGGCAAGAGTCTTGTATGCCGTTGTAAATCTAAGCATTCAGGAAGCCGAAACTCCTATTATGCTTTCTGTCAGGTGTAAACTTCAGCATAATAAAGCTAACGGAAAATGCCTCATTAAGAAGAACCATAGACCCCTGGCGCAAGTTATGTGTATCATTCTAGACAGAACAAGCAAGATTTTCTCTCCAGAATAGAAGCTTGTAAGAACTGGCTCATACCAAACAGCCATCTAGCTCAATCGGACACCGATGGCAGCCCCAAATGCAAGCTATGACAGCCAATAACTTTCGCCTTACTGAGTGATTCAGAAGTAAATAGGTCTTGAACCTGGCAGCTTTACTTAAGCAATTAAGCAGGAGCTAAACTTCCTTTGGCAGAACAGAACTAAAAAACCATCTGATCTTCACTGGGTGATTAGAATCTCCATTATCACAACCCTTTTAATAACTCACAATGTTTAAAGTTTCACTGAGACAATCACTGGTAGAGACCAGGGAGGGTCTCTTAAAATCCCACCTAACAGCCCTTTGTGGGAACATTTGTTGTAAGACGTTTGAACAAAGCAGAGGTTTCTCTACCACTCTTTATAAAACTGCTCTCTGTTCCTTGAGGAAAAGATCTAAGTTTCCCACAAGAACCAGCATAATTTATTTCTTTTTTTCTTTTTATGTTATTTCTAGGGTTGTCAAATGACTCAAGCCAAAAGGAATGTCTCTTTGCCCATCCAGCCCCCTCAACGTATCTCTCCATTCCTAGCAGAGTACCTTATCTTGGACATTTTGTTCCAGCAACTCCAGTTAAGACAAATGGCAAAGCTAACTCAGAGGATGACTAACATGTTAAACTCTACCGAGTAAAGGCATGAAACAAATGACAAGAATAAAAACCATAGCTAGATACACATAGAAGGCGGGGGGGGGGGAGATTTAAATAAATAAATAAGAGATATGACCAACACCTTGGTCAACTCAACCACTTCATTCCTACAACAGAAACTTGCAGTATTCCACTTCATTTGAGTTCATTTGTTCTTTCTTTCTTTCTTTCTTTCTTTAGGAGGTGAAACATGCATTTCAAGGAGGAAGAGGAGGGGAGGAGAGAGTAACACTTCTGAAAGATTAGCGTCAGCTGGAATCTTCCCAGGGGATGAATCACCACTTCAACAAATCGTTAACTAAACACTCGTTTTCTGTTAAGACACGTACTAGACACTGTACTGAAGAGTGCAGAGGTACGGCGCCAGTCTTTAAAGAGGGCATCATGTACACTGGAGGAAAAACTTTGCCCGTGGGCAAATACCTTAATCCACAGACGTGCCACCCAGGGTCTGGGTGATAAGAGGTGCCAACTTCAAAATGCAGCCTGACAAAAGCCCCGAAGCAGCAGGCGTGGCGGTTTTCTTCCAGATTTTGCATTTGAAGTCTCCAGCTCCGGACCCACTCTCAAAATTATACTGGGAATTCATTTCCTTATCTGAAGATAGCCTCTAATCATCTCATGAAACAATAGGTACTTGCCAAGGTTACCCAAAGAAGGGTTTTCCACAGCAGTTATTTTTTTTAGCAACAGGAGTTGATAGGGATGCAGATAAACAAGCAAACTTTTTAATCAGGGTCTGAAAAATGGCTTAGGCAATCTCTCCACCCCCTTCTGCGCGATGAAATCTTTTACTTACTGCCACGGCGGATATTGATGAGCAGGTTCCCTCGGATTTCCGTGCACCCCTGCAGCATCTGTGCTGACGTGACCGAGTCAATGGTTATGGTCTTCTCATCCGCACACACTTTGGGGCAGGGTCCTTCACAAGGGCTGCAGAACATGCTGGCAAGGGGGGAAAAAAGGATACCAAGAAGTTGAAGGGGAAAAGCCCCATCAATTCTGACAAGAGCTTCTTCTTCAAAATGGAAGCCTGCTTCGACCAAATGGGCACAATGGAAACAGAACCCGGTGCATGCTCTTTCCTCTTCTACAGCATGAAGAGGAAAGAACTGGAGGAAGAGACTGATCTTCCATCGGATGCTCTCTCATCACAATACACAACTCATGAGAAGAATGACTGACTTTGGGATGATGGAATGGAATTTCCCCAAATTCCCTGCATCTGTTTTTGTGACCTGTAGTTCCCCAAATTAATTCTCTCAACCTTTAAAGCTCCCTGTGGTTTCCTTCTCCTCTACCTTTTCTTTTCTTAAATTAATTCTCTCAACCTTTAAAGCTCCCCGTGGTTTCTTTCTCCTCTACCTTTTCTTTTCTTTCTTTTTGTGTGTGTGTGTGTGTGAGTGTGAGGGGAGTGTTCCATTTCTTGATACATTCCCATTTATGCCCATTCACACAAACACACACCCCTCTTCAGCTAGCAGCAAGTCACTCCTCTAAAGTAGCCCAGATAAAATCCATACAAATTATTAAGAATTAAGAATTCTTCAGAACCTATGTCTTTATCTCCTACTGACTTCACATAAGAGAAATAATCTATCTGCACTCTCTCACCTTTCTAGTAGCAACTCTGGACACTGGGGTCAGTATCCTGTCATGCAATTGATTAGCATAAGTATCTATGCACAGAATTATGGACAATTTAAGCTGGACTGTACCAGTTGCACCACTGGTTACAAAACACGGCAGGACCTCCAGAAACCACAACCACTTCCACAATGTGCAATGTGTGTTGTACTACTTGTGAACACTCGGAAAAATCCTGATTATCCTGGTGTATTGTAAAGTTACGCTGGTATAAATGTGCCAACTATTATGCCTGGCAATAAGGAATCGTGCTATTCACTGGTGAAACCGGCTGAGCATCCATAGCACGACCAGACTGCAGAAAGCACCTGCAGATATGCTTCTCCTACTTTGGCGCTATTGCAACTGCTGCAGACACCACCCCAGTTGCACAACAGAAGTCTGGCCATTCTCCAAAAGCACAGCTGGTTGGGACCACAATACTTAACTATGTGTAAATCCTCAACAGGATTTTGGCCTCAATGTTTCTCCTAATCTTGTTTTCCCCATCTGCTGACTTATGCCTGTTCTTTTCAAAAAAAGTGGGCTTGTTATTTCTACAAGGAAACAACTCAGGTTCTTCAACAGCGTGATTAGGGAAATTAATATAACAACAATTGAAAAACTACTGCACAACTCTTCTCTATTATTGTAGGTTCCTTGCACACTCGTGTCATTTCTAAGGAAGGAGAACCTCAAAACGCTGGAAATCCTGGGCCTCATTTGCAGAACCAACCAACTTCTGTAGGCCCATACTGCTGGTTATGTGCCACCAAGTTGGAACAGACTGATAGCGACCCTGATAAGGCTTCCAAGGTAAGTGAGATATTTGAATGGTTTTACCAGTTCCACTCTCCCAGTAAGTTTTCATGACCAAGTCAAGATTCAAACTCTGAAGTCCAGAATCCATCACTCTCTCTACTACACCCAACTGGGCCCCATAAGTCCATATATTTGAAGGGATGAATGCAGTTGATCCTCCCTAGAAAACACAGTGGCAGCAACACTTCCACAAACCCCCTCTTGAAGACTGGCACCTTCACACCACAATCCTATTCACAACTGCTCCCTCCACCTTCCAAACCTCTCTGCAAAAGCTATGACTTTGCACTTCAACACACCACATATTTAACACAAACTCAGTATTTATGTTAAAAAAAACGGACGAAACATAAACAGTCTTTGATGGATGACTCTGTTTCAGAGGAAAAGCTTATTTTATAATGGTTAATATTAGAATGACAACATTAAAACCTATTAACAGATGACTACTGCAGTATGAATGAATGAATGATTTATTGCAGTAGTAAATCTGTTGTGAGTTGGTTACTTAATTCCTTCACGTAGGCCTACGAGAACAACACGCAGATCCAACCACCCGATATGACACAACTGTACACATGCCTACGGCTGGTAACTAGCCAGCTCTGGCAAACCTAAAAGCTACACAACATGGGGCTTGTTAGGCTTTAACCACAACTGAAATGAACTTGAAAGCTCACAGAGCAATGTGGTTTCCTCTTTCCTATCCTATCTTCCTTTCTCTTTGCAGGCAGATCTGGTCAACATGCACATCGCAAGGTCCTTAAGACAAGCTTTGTCCCTTTTTGCCCCTGAAGGCACTGAAAGAAGCGCATCAGAAATGTGCGTTAGCCCATGCTGGCTCCTCAAGTCATAGAACAGAGGAAGGGAAAGCAAAATATGCCACACACTTTTACTGCCTCTGGATTTACTACCACCAGCACTCATCTTTCTCCATTAATACACTGAAACTGAGATAAGATAAGCACGCTATGCTTTTTTATGAGTGTTTTCTATCGCTTGAAAACACAAGTGGTCAAGATAGTGGCAAGGAAAAACATTTCCTAGTAAACATTTGGTATCTCTAGGTTGGGGCAGAGATCGTCTGCTATACACCTGTCTGTAAACTAGAAAACCTTACGAGGAAAAAAGGAGATGTGTTTGGCCAACTTTGCACAAAAGCAAGGAAAGCCAAATGTCCCCAGGAAACCAAGCTCATTGCCCAAGTAAAGGCAAACAATCCAGTCCTTAAAACAAAAATAAACAGAACCGCAGCTCTCTGGGGTTTTATGTGTGTGTATATGTGCACATACATATGCTTATGTGTCAACCCTAGAGGAGAACGCAAGGGTTCTTTCTATCATGCAACCAGGAAAGCAAAATCTGTCAAGGCCAAGCTGTTAAGGGGATCCTGGAAGCTAAAACATAAAAAGCAGCTTCCCCAAGTTACATTTCTGATCCAGAAAAAGAGGCACTTCAATAAAAGGACACTGCTGGTTTTACTGTAAGGCAGTGCTTCCCAACCTTGGATAAACCCAGGTGTTCTTGGACTGCAACTCCCAAAAACCTTGGCCAGCACAGCTGGTGGTGAAGGCTTCTGGGAATTGCCGTCCAAGGACACTCAAGGTTGGGATCCACTGCTGCAAAAAAATAAACAATATTTATTTAAAGGTGAACCTGCTGTAACAAGGTTTAGCGTGGGAAGAAGGCTCCTTTGCCCGCCGAACTGCCTTTGGGCCAGCACACAACACTGTGGCACTAGCCGATCTCAAAGAGGACTGAGATCTTTCTGCTGGCACAACTCCTGAATTAGTGAAGACATGCTAGCAGAACAGCCAAAACAGGAGAAGAACTAGGGGAAAAGTCAAGCTGCATTATGCCAGATCAAAAACTTCTTCAGGCCACGGGCATGACCATTACGCCACCACAAATTCAGGCCAAGGTGAGAACAGTCCTAATTAACTTCCAACATCGCAAGGCTGGGAATGGTTTGGATCTGGCCCACCTCCAGCCAATCCTCAGCTATCTTGGCTGGTTAGAACTAAGCCTTAACCTGGCTATCCTTTTGGAAACCGTCATCAAAGGTCCTTGGGCCAAAAGTTTAAATGGAACACTTCAGAGAGCACATAAAAATGCAGTGATGCCAAAATAAACCAATGCACAAGCTCACACAAAACACCTTCGTTGCTCGGCTATGACAACACTCCAGAGCTAGTTGACATGAAAAATGGTGATCAATGTGGGAGGATTTCCTTTTCTGTTCAACTCTAGTCTGTATAACGAGGTTAACATGACATAATCCTCCTTTACAGGAGAAAATTATGTGTATCCACACATAAGGAAAAGGAGTGTAGCCTATCCCTTTCTTGGACACGGAGAGATTTTAATTATGATTACTTTCAGTCTTTACAGACATCAGTAATGGTTATGATTACTTTAAACTTTCCAGGAAGTCTGTTGCTATCCTTATCATTTATAGTAAGCTGACGGGAAGGGGGAACAAAAGTTGGGAGAAACACACAGGCCAAAATCGTCTCGGTGCACGCCACATCTGCAACCGTCTGTTGCGCAAGCCACTGGCCTATCCTCAAGCTTCTGCACAGAGGCATACAGCGCCTTTTTGCGCAAGCATGAACTCTGACAGAAGCGATGCGATGATCAGTGGCTTGCAGAACAGCAAACCAGAGGTCTCACAGAATGCTCTGCTGCCGTGAGATTACCCTCTGTGACTGCAAACATGCCAGTGGCCTCAGTGTCCAAAATCACTGCTAGCATGCCAGAAAAGTCACAGATGGGCATTCCAAGGCAAGAAGGACTGAGTCAGGGACACCACAATACACCTGCAGCAGAAAGACATCCAGTTTTTAGTAGCTGTTTTGAAAACCCAGCAGCGACCTAGGCTGTTGCTCCAGCATTGGTACATGTCGTGCTGGATAAGACCAAGAGATCTAAAACATGAGACCTGGTTGGCTTTGTGAAGGATCTGAGGGAACCTCAGGTCACGACACTGCTGAAACTAAACAAATACAGATTTCATTGGTCCCCTGGATGCAAGATCTCTGTAAGATCCTACAAGATAGGTAAGGTTTTAAGAAGAGGAAGAACAACATTGAACAGGTATCATCCTCATGCTATGACACTGAGGGTTTCATCCAGGATCTGAAGCCATTCTCCAGCTTTCCAGAGAAAAGACAGCAACCCACAAGTTAGGTGTACATGTGTATTACCTTTGGGTGTCATTGCGAATAAATCCCGGAGGACACTCGGGCACGCATTCGTCCTCATGGATCACAAAACTCTCGTACTCCGACGTTGGTATTCTGGAGCAATTCTCCTTGGTGATGCATTGCCAGCCCTCAAATTTGTAGGTGTTGGGTGGACAGGTGGGGACGCAGGTCCCGTCATGGAAGTAGTTCTGACACGCCACACACGCAGAGCTGTTATTCGCCGCCGTGCAACTTCCCAAGCACTCCGGGTGGCAACATTCGTTCTGGTCTGTGCATGCATATTTCCCACAAGCGCTGGAACACACTGTAAAGGGTCAAGAGCATATAAGAAATGAGAGGCACGCATGTCAGGTCAAAAGAAACACGGTGCCATAACGTACACCACCTATTTATACCCAGCTTTATCAGTCAATTTGTTTATTTTCACTCTGTTCTGACACTCCTAAAGGCGTTCAGAGAGGGACACTCACAATATACAATCGTAGACCTACGCCAAAAAGTGAATGCTTTCAAGAAGAGCCTTAAGAACTGTAACTACCAGAACTAATAAGGCAGCAATGATATGTAATGCTCAATATTTGGAACTCATCTAAGAAAAGTATGGACATTATTATTTGGATGTTTACAAAGCCTGTGAAAGAACTTCTGCTGTCTATCTCGGAATTAATTAAAGCCCAGATAAGTAATACCACAGTCTTGTCTTCCATTGTGGACACTGCAGGTGGCATATCAACTTTAGCTGATAAATAGCAACCGTGTCATTTGGCATCCAGAGAAAACAACAGAAACAGTAGACCTATATGTTAAAACAAGGGTCCCCAACCCTTGGTCCACGACCCAGTAACGGTCCGCGGCCTGGGCAAGACCAGACCGTGGACAGAGATCTCCTGCCCCCCATAAGCACCCCCCCCACAAGCACATGAGCACACTCTGCCCTTGCAAGTGCGCCGTGAGCATGTGTGCAAGCACGCTCCACCCCCCTGCGAACATGCCACGCCCCCCCCTGCCCTTGCAAGTGCGCCGTGAGCATGTGCGCAAGGACGCTCCACCCCCCTGTGAGCGTGCCACGCCCCCCCCACCAGTCCATGTTTGGGAAAAGGTTGGGGATCACTGTATTAAAGGATATCCAGAACAGGCTAAACAGTGACATGACCTTTTTAGAAAAAATCCCTTTTTAGTATGTCTTTATAGTTCCGAAACAAAACTTTCATGTCCCAACAGCCAGTCCGAATTAGGGAACAATCAATCAATCAATCAATCAATCAATTAATCAATCAATCAATCAAGGCACTACATACTAGTTTTGTTCTGACCAGACATTATGGAGACTACGTCAAAATAACAAAAAAAAGCTCAACTCATCACATGTAAACACACTTTCAACGTTCCACTCTAAATTCAAGATAAGAAATTAAACGCAGCTCTGAATTGGTTGAAAAGGGAACAAAAAAAGAAGAGTGTGAATAAAAATAATCGCAGCCATACACTGAATTTTCTTTAGACCCGCACAGCCAAAATGTAAATTCATAACCTCACTGAAACCTGCAAAGGCCTGGGTTTCAAGACCACCGAAAAATCTGGGTTCCAATCACAGCAGCCGGGCTTGAACAAGGCACACCCACTTTTATTTATAAATCAGGCTAAATATATTCAATGACCATTCGCCGTGTTGCCTCGATCAGGGGTAAGAATAGTGAACTGGCGTTAGCTCACCATTACGAGGGCTCTCTCGGCCCAGATGCCAGACTTGTTAGCCTGCCGTGAGCTGCGCCTCCTTCTCCACGTACATAAATATTCAAAGTCTCCAAGGCTATTAAGGGATTTCTTTAGCAACTCCAGACAGCATGTCTTGCAAGCAGATGGATTGCGGCTCCCCCGTCGAGTGCCAAAACGTAAGATTTAGTAGGGTAACGAGATTTCCCGTTTACACAAGGATATCAAGCAAAGCCACGGACTCACACATATAGCATGCCTCTAAAGAGCTCAGCTCATGATAACTAAGGAGCATTATATGCCATTATGAGCACTTATTAGGGTAATCGCTTTGCAAAAAAAAAAAAAGTGGGGAAGGGGGACATGGCATGATCAATCTCCACCATCATCTCCCAGATAAGCTGGCAGCTGTGAGCTACACAGAGAACATAACACCTTGAGCCACGGAACACTCTGTTGCATCTCTGACATGTGAAGAAGCAGTAAAGCTGTGGCTAAATCTACATTTAAACAAAACACCACCAATTAACAACTCTGCTCCCTTTTTGACACTTTTAAAAAACCTAGTCACATAATGTCCCCAGGATACAGGGAAGGATTGAAAGAGAAGACTAGGAACCAGGTCTTCTCTGCGGCTGCATGACATTTGGGGAATCACCTCCCACCTTAAGTTCACTTGGCCCCTTTTTCGGGGATTTTCAAGAGACATCTTAAAACATGGCTATACAGACAAGCCTTCCCAGAACACTACATCTGCGGAGCGCAATGGTGAGCTCAGCCATAAAGCCACCAATTCTGCTTTCTTGTTTTTATTAACTGCTTTTATGTCGCTGTTGTTTTAGCTAATTGATGATATGTTTATTTAATTTTGAGTAATTGTTATGTAATTACAATTTAATGTTTGTTCTTTCTGTTGTGAACCACCCAGAGTGGCCCAGATAGGTAGGTAGGTAGGTGGGTAGGTATGTGGGTGGGTGGGTGGAAGGAAGGAAGGGTGGAAGGAAGGCAAGACTACAGGGAAGGATCTCACAGCCTCCAGAATCAAATTTATCCACTTTAGCCTACCAATGGCCAATTCCATAATTTGAAAGATGATAGACAGATCTTTATTGACAAGGTGGGGGGATCCAGGCAATGAAAGCACTGGCTGCCACCCCAGATTCTTTTCGGCTATTGCTCAACAAGGTGATTGGATTTGTGTCTGGTCCCCAACACTTCAGACTGGAGGCTGGCCACTCTCAGCCAGCAAGCTGGGTTCCTGCCCAAGGAGATGTAAGAGGATTTTAGGGGGGAGGTGTACTGTTTACAATGTCAACCTCGTAATTCTTCTCTTTGGGAAACGGGAGGAACAACTGTACTTTGCCCTCTGAGTGCACCTCTTATTTTTCCTTCTTTATCCTTGAACTATGGCTGTGGTATGGCACGGATTGTGTGTAGTCACTGTGTTGTCGTCATCATTAGGTCCTTTGCTGAGCACGTTAAGCAACAAGTGTTCTCCAACGAACTTCGACGGCAACATATTCAGCATCATCCCAAGGAACATTAATGGTTTTGAGATCTTCCTGGAGTGTTTTAATGCCGTTTTTTTTCAAAGCCAGCCTGTGTTCTCCCCCAAAATCGACAAATTATGGCACGGATTGTGTGTAGTCACTGTGTAGTCATCATTAGGTCCTTTGCTGAGCACATTAAGCAACAAGTGTTCTCCAACGAACTCGACGGCAACATGTTCAGCATCATCCCAAGGAACATTAACAGTTTTGAGATCTTCCTGGAGTGTTTTAACGCCGGCTTTTTCAAAGCCGGCCTGTGTTCTCCCCCAAAATCGACAAACGCTTTGATTTGATTTCTATCAGTATATTTCAAACTTTGAAATAAGCTGATTTGAGGAAAAGGTGTTTGAAGGGCGGCATCAGATTTTTCATATTTATGAGAAAGGTTTTAAAAGGTCCATAAATACTGCTGTAGATTGAAGTTCAAATGGCGGCAATGCTCCCTTCCCATGCCAAAAAGAAAAACTCTTCTATATATAAAGCCATCTTATACTGAGCCAGGCCACTGACCAGTGTCATCTACTCATATACGCAGCAACACCTTTCCAAAGATTCAGACTGGAGCACTAACTAGGCTCAACCCTGTTTAGTTTCCAGAATCAGACATGATCCAATGTGTTCAGATTAGCACAGTCGCAGGGAAAGCCAGGAGATCAGGCAGAAGGGCTGGCTGGCAGGAAGCTTAGTTGCCCTCATGCCCATTTTCTACATCACTGGTTCCCAACCCAGGTGTTCTTGGACAGCCATTCTCAGAAGCCTTCACCACCAGCTGTGCTGACCGGGGTTTGCAGTCCAAGAACACCTGGGTTACCTAAGGTTGAGTGGGAACCACCCTTCTCCATGAAAGACCTCTGAGGAGCATTCTGCCACTTCCATCTAATGCTTTGAGTGGTACAGTCCAGACACCTCACTCAACATCAGGGATCAGGGTAGAATACTTAGGCAGCCCTTGACAGACATGGGAAAGGGTCTGCCCATCACAGCTGCAGATGGAGGACCAGCATGATCTAATAAGGCAGCTTCCTAGGAAGCCAAAAGGCAAGGCTGTGTCTTCAGAAGTCCTATTATGAACCTCAAAAAAACAAAAGAAACCCTGATTTGTTTGTCAAGGCAGACTACAGAAGCACATACAGTGGTGCCTCGCTAGACGATGATAATCTGTTCCACTGAAATAGCTGTTTAGCGAAATCATTGTCTAGCGAAAAGCATTTCCCCATTGGAATACATTGAAACCTGTTTAATACGTTCCAATGGGGAAGAATCGTCGTTGTCTAGCAAAGATCGGCCATAGGAAACCCGCTTTGCAAACCGCTGATCAGCTGTTTAAATAGCTGTCATGCGAAGCTTAGGTCCCCAAAACACCCATTTTGCGAGCGCGGAGGGAGCTGTCAAAATCGTCGTCTAGCGAAAATCGGTTTGCGAAGCAGGGACCAAACACTGTCCAGCGAAATTCCCGCATAGGAACACTGTTTTGCGAATCACTATAACGATCGCAAAAAGTCAATGTCTAGCGAAAAAACTGTCATGCGGAGTAACTGTCTAGGCACCACTGTACATTTTTCAAGAAGATGATTTCTCCGCTCCTGTCTGAGACCTGCCTCCTTCTGCTGAGGAACTGTCTTTCATGGATTGTTTTTATCACTTCCGTACAAATGCTGTGACCTCAGCAAGGCTGAAATGGAACAATCAAATGAATAAACAGTCAGTTGGAGGGAATGGAAAATGTAGCCAACAGGGTAAGCCTTCTGGCAGGTGAAGGTCACAGCCTTCGCCAAGGTAGGCAGTATGCCAACTGAAAGCAGGCAGACATGGAGTTGCCAAGTGTGGGGTTTTTTTTAAAACAAATCCTTTCCTTTCTTGTAAAATTATATTCACATCTTCCTCTCTGTCTCTCCCTCCTTCCTTCACCCCTACCACCACCACCACCCTGGCCAAGAGATGAACAGGAAAAAAAATGTCCCTCCAACCAAAACTGAGTTCCTATACGCGAACTTGTCTGACTTCAAAAGAAAGGAGACAGTAGACCTTGGAAAAGGTACTT